ATAAAAGGAAAACCTTCTTCAATTGACCTTTGCTGTAATTGCACCTCTTGTGCTTCTTTCATAAGAATATTCCTGCACAAGATTGCTATGTTAAAATGAATTCAAAATGCAAACACAGAAAATAAAAAAATAAAAATCTAGAAGAATCTAAATAATGTTATCTGAAATGGAAAAAACCATGTAATAGACTAAAACCATAAGTCATTTCTTGTATACTCTCGATGATTCTAAAAAGTATGACATCACTACGTATCCATCTCATTACTGATTATTAGCAGTGGAAGAGCTGGACACACTGGAAAATGATGGCTTGGGGAATATATATTTTTTAATGTAGAGTCCTTAAAAACTTGGTGGGCAGGAGGGAAGGCCTCTCATGATTTACACCAGGCACTGCCTCTGCCAATAAGGGTTGCCTCGATTGGTAAAATCAAACACCATTGACAAAACAATAGCCATTGCTAAGACTTGTCACGATATTGCAAACAACGCAATTCCTTAAAGCAACATAAGAAGCCCTACATGTGTTACACATTAAATACAAAATATCTGCAAAGTCACTGGTATAAACATGACTTTAGGAAGGTCAATAAACATGAATTTAGGAAACTGCAGAGATGACAAGAAAAAGGCCGTTGCAATGAAGCACGAAAATAAGCAATCACAGCAAAAGTTTAGATTGCAAAAGTTGCCTGTTAATTTGCAGGGCATTACTCAGCAACCCTTGAAAATTGGAGGGTTTTGGTATCCTCTGCAACGTGGCTACTGCATATTTGAGTTAATATGTTATTAATTTCAAATTAACTTTTAAATCTTTAATCATGAAACTTTGCATTTAGTACTTTTCTTAATAATTTTTGTAATATAATCCTTATATAAATTGAGAAAAAAGCCCGAACAAAAATCACCAGTACTCGAACAAGAATTTGATTTCATGAATGTCTTCGATGTTAGCAGTTATGCGAAATCTTCACACACTTGTTCTTCGTTAAAGAAATTCCCTTCATTGAACCCTTTAATTCTTTCTGTGTTTTTTCAGAGCACTTCTATTTATGAGAATAAAAGTTATGTTGAAGCCACTTGAGCATGTTTTGTTTGTTAGAACTATAGGATTTAAAAGAAAACTGGCTAGACAAATGATTATTTTGTAAAAATAAATATGTAATTTGTAGGGACTAAATTAAAAATAAAAAAATAAAAAGACATTATGGTTAATAACTAGACGGTTCCTACACCGTCTAAATTATAAGGCTACTATTGAAATCTTCTAATTTACATTGGTTTCATAATTTATGTTACCTTCAAATATATTCTACAAAAAATTTTAAAAACTTATTTTTTATTTTATTTTAACACATAACACGAACAAACATCAAAATATTTTTATAAGACAGATAATAGTTATTTTGCTTAATAATATTTTAATTTTAAATTAAAAGTTTTTAAAATAAATTATAAAAATGACAAAATAACTAATAATTTTGTAGATAAATTTATTTTAATGTTTAATATGTACATTTAAAGTGAAAATAAGTGTTAACTAATGTGTTAAATGAATAAAATTCAACATTTATAGTAATTATTAAGCAAAATAACAACTACAATAATTTTTTTTTAAACAATTTATTATACTTTTTAATTAAATATTTCAGTATGATTCTTCTAACAAGAGAAATAATATTAGTAACATCATGTTTAATAATTTTTATATACATTATTTATTAGTGATTAACTTTTATTACAAATTATATGCATACGTAAATCCTAGTTCTCACATAAAAAATTATATTCTTGATAAAATTTAATTACTAATTAAGATGTTTGTGAAAAAACATAAATAAAAAATATTACATTCTCGTTTTCTTTTAATTTTATTTTAATAATTATCTAATTTAACAAAATAAATTATTTTTAATTTATGTTAATAAAATTTTAAATAAATTTATGACATCAATCTTTAATAAAAAATTTACCAAATATAATTTTAATTTAGTTATTACTAAAACACACATTATTTTTAAAAAAATGCTTGTTAAAAAAACTCATTAATAAGGTTCCAACTCTTAAAATTAACATTTATATTATAAATGATGTGTAAATACGTTTTATTGCTGTAATTAATTTTATCTCTACATATTTATTAGTTTTGTTTTAAATTTTAAAGATTGCGTTTACTATTTAACATCTTTTTATTCTTTCTGAATACTTATTGTTATGTTTATAATTTAAAAAAATTAATTTAAAATTAATTTTCAAGGGTCTCATCTCTTAAATTTATGGTAATAATATATATTAATGATTAAAATTTAATATAAATTTATTTTATATTTTATATTAAATTATTATTTTAAAGTAAGTTATATTTTAAAATTATTTAATTTTATTAATTTTGTTACCATTTTCATACATTTTATTCATAATTAAATTAAATATTTATAAAAAAAAACAGGTTCTTTAATTATATATATATATATATATATATATATATATATATATATAACATACCTATATAGAAGTAAAATGGTTAAATTATTCTATTAACATTGAATACTATATTTATTGTTTAGTCATGAATTAACATATCAACATGAATCGGTAAATTTTCATAGTAATTAATATAAAAAATTAATTTTATAATATATTTTAATTATTTAATTTACAATGAACCAAAATAATATATTTAATTTCAATCTTCAAATATGGTTAGACATTTTTTACCGTGCCAAATCAAAACTTATTCATCATCATTAATTACAGACCATCCGATTGATTTTGTTTCTTAAATAATTTGAAAATAGAATGTCAACTTTCTTATTAAAAAAATTGAAATCCTTTCAAGCCTTCGACTTGTCTTTTCATTGTTTTCCTAAAAACATTACATGTTTGCTCAACATCTATACCACAAAGCCAATCTCTATCCGTATTATGATTGTCTTTTTAAAAATACTTAAAGCATGTTTATTTTACAATTTTTTTTAAAAAAACTGAAAATAGTTTTTAAAAGAAATATTAAACATACCCTTAGTTTCTTTTATATTTATTTTTTATTGTTTTTTCTTTTTATCTCTCTCTCTCTTTTTTTAAACCCATTTAACGCTTAAAAATCGAGTGTACTAGTCATTTTTCTTTAAAATATCCGAGTTCAACTTTAAAAATAACTTTGATGGGTTAACTTTGGAAGCGTGATAGTAGGTGGGAAATGTTAGTATATTTTAAATGTTTTATTCAATGTAAGAGTTGCATTTAATTTCCACCAACTCCATTTAGACTTTATATTCTCTTAAAATATAGTGTTATGGTTTTGATTTATCGCTTTTTCATAGACGTAGTTGTAAAATTGGTTGGATCTCATCCGAATTGGCTAGATAGTTAAAATCTTACAATCTGCTTAAGAGAAACTTAGATTAAGAGCGGATAAGAAATAAATCTACGTGCTTTTTTATAGTTTATTGATAAACTATTTAATGAAAATATATTTGATAAAAAAATTCATATAAAAATAAGAATTGTTGTAAGATAAATTGAATTTTATTCTAATTTCCATAATCTTCCGTTGATAAATTTTAATTTAACTTTTGATGTTGAAGTTAAGTCAACTATATTAATATTTAGTTAATAAATATAAAACAATGAATAAAAATATCATTAATTACCTTATTTAAAACCATTTATCATCTTATAAACTAAGATAATTAATTTAAATTTTAATTTGATTATAAATTTATTTATTTATTAAATAAGACAATACGAATAAATTTATATTATCATTTTAATAATTTTACATTGTAAAAAAAGATTTGATGATTTTATTAAATTACTTACATTGGTTTAAAGGTAGTAAAGGAAAGACTATTTTTTTTAAAATTGTAAACAGTATCACAGTAAACTTTATTTTCTTTAAAAAAATGTTATAAAACAAGATTAACATGTTTAAACGACTCAGCTAACTGTCTACGAATTAAGTTGGACTTCATTTAATTTGTACTTTTGGCAACGGAGTCTCAAATGAATGGGATTTTATTGATTATAAAAAAGTATCTATGCAGATATGCTTGTCGGCTATAGCATTTTCAATGGAAGAACATTAATAAACTATCGCTTAATCACATCATTCGAATCATGTAGTTGGATTTGGTCGGGCGAAAAATAATTTCATATGTTAACATATGTTCAACCAACTGTTTTTACTTAAATTCACGAGTTTCTACTTTATTCATACTATTCATTTACACCTTCATAATTTTTTTTTTAAAGATGGGTTTCTTCTACCGACAAGCCCATTGACTCTATAAGCCCAATATTGGGTCATCTATTCTTGACAAGGAAGTCCGAAATTATTCTCCCATATGGACCAAAGAAAATAAAAAGAAGAAAGTATTCTCCTATTAATGCTCCATTTTTAGCTCCTATAACGTTTTCACCAAGAATGACAAAACAGCATTTGACCCTTTTCAATACATAGCTGTGTATGTGAGAATGAGTTTGGATTGTAGTTGGTAAGAGGACAATGGAGAAACTATGAGAAAAGACAAGGCTAGTTTTTGTAAGAAGAGAATGCCGCCGCCATTGAAAATCACATTGGAGCGTGCATGCGTGTCCTTCTTCTGAAGGAGACCATCGTCTTCGTGTAGCAGCATGAACTATATGAGTTGTCACTAAAAGTCTAAAAGAGTCTCCCCATAGTCCTTGTCTCCAAATGCTTTTGATTGAAAAATACGGGTTTTGTTCATATAATTGCATAGTCGTGTCAATTAACTATAAATGTGTGTAATGTGTTTGCACTTGAGGTTAATAACATTATTGTTTTCCTTTTTCATTCATTGTTCTTGTAACTCTTTCTATTTTTACTTTTTATAAATTGCTGCTGACCTAGGAGTAGAAACGTTTGTCATTTGAATATGAATATATTTTTAAAATAAAAGATATGTTAAAAAGCTGGACAGTTTTGTTTTAAAAGCTAGCATTAGTTATTTTGTTTGACTGTTTTTGTATTCCCCATGCTTGAATATTTTAGGGACTTTAAGACTAAAAAAAGAAGCAGTACAGTTATGGATGCAGGCTCTTATCCTTTTATATATACACCATAATTCTTTAAGATTTTCCATTTGGTTTCTTGTACTTTGGATCTTTGTCTAAATGAATGGCAACAGAATAGAAACCAACAAAGAAAACGATGATTGGGACTTCATTGCATAAAATTTATTTAATTTTATTTGTTTTGGGGTCCCTTCTCATTGATCAACTTAAAACAAATTAAAATAAAATACAGCTTGATTGATGTTAAGATTATTAGCCACGGAAGCAACACTGTAATTTTCACCAAGTCTGGAAAGTGGGTGTCTAAACTAGAGCTTTGTTGGCCAGTTTATATGCTTGTCATATTTTGACTATACAAGAAATAAAACAACAATAATAATAATAAAAAGTATACGTTGGAAGCGAATTTTACGATCCCATGCTTAGCTGTGTGTATTAAGGAAAGGGATCAGATTAAGAAACCGAAGTTTAAGTAACTTTAGTACTATATAATTTATTAATTTGTTAGATTGTAAAATTGGCTGTGTTTCCATTTGGTCTCTGATGTTGTGTATTATTTCAAAGCACATGTAGTGTTATGTATATATATATTTTAAAAAATTGTGATGGGTTAAGCCGTTTTAACAACAACAGGAGTAATAAATAGACTCAATTCTGCTGCTACTATGTGATGGGTTTAGAAGATAGAGCTACCAAAGGTAGTTAGAGGGCATGCTTAAAATTATAGTAACCCCTTATATAAACTTGACCCGTGTGTGACACAAAAAATGAGACTTTTATCTCTTATTAACATCAATGTCAAAAAATTCATAGTTATTTATGGCTACGCTGTCATTCTTTGAAAGATTGACAACATCCTTTGCAACTATTGGCTGTGTATTGGAACTTTTTTTGGGCAAATAAAATAAGACTTAAAGAAAAGACAATAACGAGAAGAAATGGAATAAAAACTGTCTCGACAAAAATAATTACAAGAAAGTTGATAATAATATTATTAACTATCCCTGTCAAAAGACCTCATAATTCCCGAAAAGCACACATTTCACTTTATTCTATTCCATGGTAATATCTGAGAATAAAAATCCAGTTGACAGTGATTTACTTTTTCCAAAGGATCCACGGTGTAGAATTCAGCTGTCTCATGAAAACAAGAGACAGGCGTGACCTTAGCATGAGCACCCTGATTCTAAAAAATTCCTTGTGATTTGTTTATCCATAGTGGTTGGATTAGGTCTTTTCTTGGGTGTTCTGATTGTGATTTTCCCAACTTTTGAATGAAAAAGACCAAATTAGCCTTGCTTGTGACCCTCTTCTGATGTGACTTTTAGGAAGGACCAGCAAGGCATTGCATTGCATGCAACAAGAGAACAGAAAGGACCCCAACCCAAGTCAGCCAAACACAGCAAATAGAGTTTCAGAATCCTTTTTTGCCCTTTCCATGTCAGTGACCCTAAACGGTAACAGTACAGTACACTGCCTCCGCTGAATTTCAGACACACAGTGCCATTTACCCCTCACCCAATCAACCATCAGGTGTTTTGTTTTTCCACTTTACAAAGCAAAAGAAAAAAAATAATATAAAAACAAGAAAAACGAAACAGCCTTATTATTATTATTATTCCTTCCTTACCATTTACTTGTTTAGTATTTTCTTTTGCTTAGTTTAATAAATTAGTTCCTTCCATTTCTTTTACCAATGCTTACTGATTTCCCAGTGTTGGTTTACGGTTTCATTGTTCCATTGTCCTTTTTTTTTCCTTTTTGAATTTTCTGTGAGGTCCAGTGGGGTTGGGTGATGAGTGAAAGTTTGTCTGGAAGTGAGTAAGAAGATACGAAATAAGAGATAGAAAGAGAGAGAGAGAGAGAGTGGTGTAGCTGTTTCATGCTGCTTTCACACATCCTATGTCGTTATGTGGCTAAGGATTGGGTCCACCGACCCGTAGGCCTTACCTTCTCTCTCTCATTAATTTTCCATATTGTAAAAATTTCATTTATGACAAGAGAGATGTGAGCAAAATCTGGAAAAACTTTTGAAGAGGGAAAAAAGGCAGAGAATAATAAAGAAAAAGGAAAAAAAAAAAGAAGAAAGGAGCAAAATGCTGTGTGTATATGTGTTGGTGTATATGCATGACACCAAATCAGTGAAGAAACTCAGTGTTATTGCTAGCTCAATTTTCTCATTTAAAACAACCCAACCTCAGGAGGAAAACCACATCAAGCAGTGTCCATGGAGGGATTGATTTACTATTTCTTCTTCTGTCTATTCTAGCCTTCTCTTCCCCCTCTAGATTTTTCTTTTGCTATCAATCTGCGACAATTCTATTGCTTTTTCTGGGATTGGGGATATGAATTGAGGAGGACTCAAATTGCATGTGGGTTTTCCAGAATTCTGATTAAGGTTTAAGGTTAAAGGAGAGAAAAGAACACTCCCAGGTGAAGCAGAAGAAGGTTAATTGTTATAAATAGGACTTTCTATAAGAGATGGCGGCATCATCTTCCTCAGCATCGCTCTTTGGATTTAGAGAAGAGGATCAGAACCAGATGAAGCAACAGCATTCCTTGACACCAACATCATCTGCAACTCCAGCTGCACCCCCACCCCCGAAGAAAAAGAGAAACCAACCTGGAACACCAAGCAAGTATCTTAAAAATCTTATCGGAAAGATCTAACCTCTAAATCGTTTCCCATATCAATTAAACAATTTTTTTCTACTTCATAGATTTTATCTATTTCATTCTACAATTTTTTTAATCTGGGGAAGCTACCCATTTTTATATATATACACACACATAAATGAATTCCGGCTGAGGGAACCCTAATTTAAAAAGAAGTGTAAAACGGATTGAAATTAAATGAATTTGTCTTTGTAAATCTTTGTCTTGAAGCTTTCTCAATTTGATTGCATGTCTTTTAATTATTATTATTTTTTGCTTGATTGTGTGAATTAATTTTCTAATAATTTGTTGTTTGGCATTTTTCCACGGTAACAGATCCAGATGCGGAGGTGATAGCACTATCTCCCAAGACCCTAATGGCAACAAACAGGTTTATATGTGAGGTGTGCAACAAAGGGTTCCAAAGGGAGCAAAACCTACAGCTACACAGAAGAGGACACAACCTGCCTTGGAAGCTTAAGCAGAAGACTACAAAAGAGCCAAAGAAAAAGGTTTATCTGTGTCCTGAGCCCACATGCGTCCACCATGACCCTTCAAGGGCTTTAGGTGACCTCACAGGGATCAAGAAGCACTACTCTCGCAAACATGGTGAGAAGAAGTGGAAGTGTGACAAGTGCTCAAAGAAGTATGCTGTTCAATCAGATTGGAAAGCCCATTCTAAGACTTGCGGCACCAGAGAATATAGATGTGACTGTGGCACCCTCTTCTCCAGGTATAACATACTAACGTGCAATTCAATTGACTTATTTGTTATTGTTACCTTTTTTCCAAACAGTTGTTTTACTAAGCATGTGGTTTTGTTTAATATACAACTTTAGTCTAACACGGCTATAAATGGCCATAAACATGCTGAAGGAGGAACAGTGTTTGGTATGGTTTTGGCATGTTTGGGGTTGGCTTAAGGCTCATCTTAGATTCTTCTTGAAAACAATGTCTATAGTGAGGTAAAGGGGTTGGATATGCTTTTCTTTATCCATTGAGTTTGGTTTCCTTGCATTATTTGATTGATTAAGTTTCTGTCCACTCCTTGGTTTCTTCTCTAGTGTATGGTTTCCTTTGTCATCTTTCCTTTCTATTGGTACGGTGGCCAACCAAGTGAAATGGAAGGAAACATCCCCCCACGTGAATCATCTCTGGACACTGCCTTGGAGGTAGGGATCTCAGAACAAACACACGGAGGAACAACACCCTCTCTCTCTTCCTTTCCCATTTTTCTTAGGAAAAACTGCTGTTTTTTCGCCCATTTCTCTCTCTCTTTTTTCTCCTATTCACGTGTTGCTATGGCATGAATAAGAGAGAGAGTATGTGTGTGGTGTTGTGATATGTTGTTACCAGCTTTGTTTTCTTCCGGGTTGGCTAGACGTGTTCAGTACTGTGTTCTTGCAGGTTCTCCTTTTCATGATAACGTTAGGGCCTAATCAAGTAATCAACTCTTCCCTCTCTCTCTATATATATACTACTATTTCTTATGTACTATTTTCTTTTTCTTCCACATGATTTGAAGTTAAATGAATTTGGTGGTGGAACAAGTGGTCATGCTGTGCTCAGATCAGAGATCTGATGTACCCATTAAATGTTAATGATTAAATTCAATGTGGGCACATCTTGTTGACAATTTTTATAGTTTTGGAGTCAAACTCAGTTGGGTTTGAGCACAATTCCACAATCATTGTTCTTGATTGACCTCAATTTAATTTTCTCAACATTCAATATATTCTTCGGTTTCATTTATTGAACACCCAGACCTTGCCGAATGTCCTTCACATCGCACTTCTTTAATTAATTAATTGATTAAACTTTTTTTTTTTTATATATCAAGTTTGAGAAAATTATTCCACCTACTTGTTGTGTACCCTTTTAGAAATTTTTAGTTATCTTCTCAATCGCCTTTAAAGTTATCACATTATTATTTTATCTAATTACTGGTTTCATAAATACACGCAAATATTTGTCCTTGCATTAATTAAGTTTTTTTTACGTAATTTTGTAGTTAGGATTTTTGTTGTCTTTTAGTTGGAAAGGCAAAGTCTTGGTTTTAGTAATCTATTTATACGTTAGGATAATTAATACCCTTGTTATATTTTCTCTGTAGTTAACTATTTGATGTAACTTTTTTTTTTCATTTAAAATTAACGTTGAAAAGTTTTAATACAGAATATTGAACAAATTAAATTTTGTTATAATTATTAAATATATTTTCTTAAAAATAATTTTATGTTCTTAATAAAATTATAAAATTATGTTTTCAATTTTTATGCATTTCACTGACATTATAATTAGTTACTGCATGTTTATAGATATATGCTTTATAATTATTATTGAAGTGAGCTATTCTTAATATGATTCTATGCATTATCCTTGACGAATCTTCGTTTCTTGGACAATTCAGCTGAGACAATTTAATACTTTCTTTTAGTAACACCAAAAAAAAATAAATCTAACAAATTAACATGCTTAAACTGATGAGTTTCAACTAGTATATATATCCAAACAAACCACTTGCCTTTCAGCTGGATTATTTTTCTTATTACAGTCCTCTCAAATAGTTTGATTTCAATTCACTCAATCATCATGAATTGGCAAAAGCTAGACACAATATGAATATTGAAAATTGGATTTAGTTATTACATGGGACATAGTATTCAACTAAATGATATCATTAACTTGGAACATGATCATTGCAGACGAGACAGCTTCATCACCCATAGGGCCTTCTGCGATGCACTGGCTCAAGAGAGTGCAAGGCAACCACCGAACCTGGGCGGTGCCATTAGCGGCCACAACTTATATGGAAGTAACAACATGGCTTTAAACTTATCTCAGGTGGGTCCCAACATGCAAGACCAAAATAACCAACCAAATGAACTATTGCGACTCGGTGGTGGTGCTGGTCGAACCGGTCAATTTGACCACATTATCGGTTCACCATTCAGATCTTCACAGCAACCCTTCTTCATGCCCGAACCGAACCAAAACTACCATCACCACCCTGAACAACAACAATGTTTGGTTCAAAACAAACCTTTCCAGGGACTAATGCAATTATCTGATCTTAACAACAATCATCATCATAATAACAGCGTGAACAATTCTCCATCAGCTGGTTCCACCCTCTTCAACCTTCCCTTTCTTTCAAGCAACACCACTAACACCACCAACACCTCCTTCTCTGAACACTTCAACAATGCCACCAATAATGGCAATGCAGGAGGCAACAATGAAGGGACCAATTTCTTCACAACTTCAAGTGCACCTTCTCTCTTCAGCACCTCTCTTCAAGGTGGCAGCAACAATAACAACAACAACAACAGTGCTATCTCTCACATGTCAGCAACTGCACTGCTTCAGAAAGCTGCACAAATGGGTGCAACTTCAAGCAACAGCACTGCTTCACTGTTGAAAAGCTTTGGAAGCGGTTCTTCTAGCAGCGGAGGATCAAAATCTGATCATAGGCCATTGGTTGCTGCTGCAAACTATGGTGGCATTTTTGGAGGAAGTGAGCATAGTAGTAATAGCAACCTGCAAGATCTTATGAACTCTTTTGCTGTTAGTGGGAACTCTTCACTTTTTGAAAGTGGATCTTCTGGAGGGTTTTCTGTTACTGGGTTTGAAGCATATGATCATAACAACAGGGACCCAAAATTGCATCCAATGAACATTGGAGGTTCTGATAGGCTCACCCGCGATTTTCTTGGTGTTGGGCAGATAGTGAGAAGCATGAGTGGTGGTGGTGGTGGAGGAGTTTCAGTTTCACACAGAGAACAACATCAGCAACGTGGGTTCAACTTGAGTTCTATGGAGGCAGAAAGAAACAATGCAGCAGCATCAGGGCAATCTTTTGGAGGTGGTGGAGGGAATTTTCAGTGACGATGGGAAAGGCATAATCATCCATCTGATGCAAAGAAAGTACAAAGGTACGTGCAATGAAATTAGTGACTTGTTTGGAATGATTACTTTGATGATTAAATAAGCATTTTCTTGATATATCATTAGGGGTTGCTTTTGTGTATGTTTTGTTATTGGTCCATGAGTGAGTTTAAAAGATGCTATACCCTTTTTTAAAAAGAAAAAAGAAAACTTTATTGAAAAAAGGAGTGTGTGCTCTGACAAGTTGTCTTGCATGGAGCTGACAGTGACGTCTTACAGTACTTTGTTTCTTCTATTGTCTTCTCCTTTTCATTTTCTTTCATTTTTGTATATACTTTGGGTTGGCAGAGTCACGAGTGTCAAACTGGTGAACTCGAGGGTGACTGAACAAATACCTGCTCTTATCAACATTTTATTCCAATCTCATCTATGTAATTTATATACAATAATTATCATAAAAGCCTGCACATGCTTTTTCATTATTTTATAACTTTACAGAGAATGTTTGATATGGACGAATCCAAAAGCTTTTATACGTGTAGTATGGTATATATAATGTTGCAATATAGCAAGACTAAATAACTTATTAATATTAAATTATGATATTTTGTGATTTATTTGTTTTGCTTGTTAATTTTATTTTAAGAATTTTTGTACAAAGGTGTAGTTGCTGCATGGTAGCAAATGGTTGCAAGATTTATTTACGAGACAGGTAAAGACAATTTAAGTTGACTGGTAGTGTTTTGTTTGATGTTTTATTTGCTTTAAAGTCTAACTAGATTTGACTAGATAATAAATATTAATATTGGGTTTCATTAATAATTATAAAGAGAGGATGCATGTTAAATTATTCCTATTCTATAAGTTTTTTAAAGGTCTTTCTAACCAGTGTTTTTAAATAAATTATTTTTAAAATTTGTTAAATCATATTAAAAATTACAAAAAATATATTTTGATATTTCCAATAATTTTTTTATTTTCAAAATAAAAAATGTATATAGTTGGCAGATTTCTGTATTCTACACTTTTTAAAAAAAATAATAATACCTTTTAATTAATTTTAGGGAAGTTATTGGCAGATAATAAGATTATACAAAATACATGATCATGAGAGAATATTATAAATAAAAGAGTGAGGTAACAGAAAAACAATATCATAAAAAAGGTTACAGAAATATATTGTATGAATACTTTTGAATTGTATGTCTAATTCTACTTTTTGAAACTGCCTTGTTGTTAGAATATATATTTCAACTATCTGTAGTCCTATGCATAGGCAAACTCAAATTAGGTGTTGTTCTACTTTAGCTAAGTAATTAAATAGCAAATTTTTAGATTTATCTTTTCTGGATTTCAGCAATAATAAGAATCACAGTCATTTATTGTATTTTTTTTTTTTCAGGTATTTCAACCCGTTCTGTTGAAACTTAACAGTCTAGCTCATCTAATTAAGGCTTCTGAGAGCAGGATTAGGGAAGCATGTGAAAGTTTCTGGAATTTACTAATAGCGCAAGCAAATTAGGCTCCAAGATTAGGCATCTTCAACTCCGTTACAACTTTCTGCTTTTTCTTCTCTACCTTTTTACAAGTTTATTCGGATTATAAACAAACTAGCTAGCATCATGATTTTCATGGTTTAAATAGATTTTGTTTTTGAACAATGCATTTGTTATATTTATACTTGACTGCCAGTAATGACTTTGTTCATACATAGTTTGGCCTTTTGTGCATAAACGTGCATGGACATCTTCAGACCATTATGGTCCCGTTTATATCACATGTTTCTTAGAAATATTTTTTTAAATCATAGTGATTATTGAATCGTGGCTTGAATGTGGTATATATTAATTAAATATATTTTAAAAATCAAACAATATATTAAAAAAGAGTTATGTAATAACTATTTAATTATTATCTTTAAATACATGATTAACTTATAAAATTATTATTTTCTAATTTCAAATTTTAATAAATACAACTGTATTTTATATTTTAAATTATTACTCAGTAATTATTATATACAGTGAATGATATTTATAGTTTAAGCCAAATAATAAAAAAAAAGTTGAGAAAAATCACATAATAAAAATAGATAAATTCATTAATTCTGCGGAGTTAACTTTATCTAAAACTAATTTTGGTACATCTTGTTAACAATTTTGGAGTGAAAACTTGCCCAGTTTGAGCATAAGACCACAATCATTGTTCTTGATTGACCGCAATTTAATTAATTTTTTCAACATCTAATATATTATTGGGTTCCATTTATTGAATACAGAGACCCTGCAGAAGTCCTTCACGTTACACTTCTTTAATTAATTGATTAATCATTTTATCATGTTTGGGGAAATTATTCCACCTACTTGTTGTGTACCCTTTTGGAAATTTTTAGTTATCTTCTCAATCGCTTGTAAAGTATTCACATTATTGTTATATCTACTTACTCATTTTATAAATGCAAATATTTGTCCTTGGGTTAATTAAGGTTTTTTTTTAACATAATTTTGTGTTAACTTTTGTTGTCTTTTAATTGAAAATGCTTAAGTCCTGATTATAGTAATCTATCTATACTTTAGGATAATTAATACCCTTGTTATATTGTCTCCGAACCATTAGATGTAACCTTATTTTAAATTAATATTAAAAATATTTAATAAAAAATATCATATCCCTCCTATATTAAAATACTACATATAAGACATAATTATGATAATTTTTTAAATTTTATTATAATTATTAAATGTTAGTTTTTTTTTCTTAATTTTTCCAGTAAATTTATAAAGTTTTATTTTTAATTTATAATATATATATATATATATATAAATATTTTTTTTAACATATTTTGTATAATAAAATTACTTTTTTTAAATTAAAATAAATTCGTGTAATACACAAATATTATAATTAGCTCCTATATTTATTCTGAAATTCTTTACATTTCTAGAAGTTCATTTGGATTATAAACAAACTACTTCATGATTTTCATGGTTTAAATATATATATTTTTTTAACAATGTATCTGTTATTTAAACTTGACTGCCAGTAATGACTTTGTTCATATATAGTTTGGCCTTTTGTGCATAAATGTGCATAGACATCTTCAGACTGTGATGGTCCCGTTTATATCACATGCTTCTTAGAATTATTCTTTTAAAATCATACTGATTATTGAATTTTAGAAAATGCGGTATACATTAAATATGTAGTTTTAAAATTAAATGTAAATAATGTATTCTTTGATCCGATTCAAGAGGAGGACACCACCGGATTTTCTTGCCAAAATTCAAAATTCTAAAATTTAATTAAAAGTTTTGAAGTTATAAGGACTTAGTTAACTTAAATTAAAGTAGTTTTAATTTTTTAACGATATTTTGTTAAAATTTCTTAAGTATTTAACACTGTAAAATTTACACCACATGAAAATTTTCCCTTTTTATATTTATTTTATTTTTATTCATAAAATAATATTTTAAGAATATAAATATAAATAGAAAATGAACTTCTCACGTTATTATAAATTTAAAATTCTTATATTCAATTTTCATCTTTTATTTAATAGTAACTAAACTATTAAATTATAACTTATTAAATATAAATTAAATAAAATCTTCAAGTTAAGTGTAAGAACTTTTAAACTTTCAATGATGTGAAAAGATTCAGTTCTAATATAAATATATCTAAACTAACTTTAGCAACCGGCTTAAAAATTATAAATCCAGTATAACTCAACTTGTGTTTAATTAATTATTTTAAAATTTTTCTTTAAAAATTACCTAAATTAAACTCCCTAGTTGTTCTACATTGAGTGAATAAATAATAATTATTATATTACTTTGTACTTCAAAATTCCACATTAGACAGTACATACATAATATAAAGTTAAGAGAAAAATTATATTCAACTCTCGCGTACAAAACAGTGAGTGAAATACAGAAGCTCACAACATATATAAAAACCAATGGGAGATAAATTATCTCAATGTTGATTTTCCTTTTGCCATATTTTTTTTTTGAACTTAAAAAATAAAAGATTGAATTTCAGACTATCTTTATTATTTTTAGGCTTTATATAGAAAAAAAAAGAAGGATTAATAATTATTTACTATTATTAGAAAATTAATTAAATATAAAGAAAAATGTTAAGAGACTTTTCTAAATCTCTTAAAACTCTCTTAAACTTTTAAAAAAATTATGTAAGTAAGAATAAAAAATATATATTAAACTAACTTAATTTAGATAGTTCAATAATAATAATAATTATTATTATTTAGAATTTTTAATTATTTCATTGGGATAAATATCAGTGATTGAATAATTAAGTCATAATTTATTAATTAATTATATTATTAATTAAAATTTATTTGAAGTGTGAGGAATTTATCACAATTCAATGATTTCTGCAGCTTTTTTTGTTGCTGTTGGGTTGGCCATTAGGCTTGCTTCTATTAGACCTAAGGTTGGTTAAAGCATTGCTAATGGGCAAGCTATAGAGGGGATTGCGTGACAACCAAATGCAGAAGAAAAAAAATACAAAGTACTTTATTGCTTAGTTTAATTTTCATGAAAGTGTTTTTAGAGTTTATCTATTTTAGAAAGTTTCATTGATTGATTTATGCAGTGGAGTTTATTATTTATAAATCTAATTTTTAAATTAAATATTTAGTATAGTTTAAAGTTAGAATAACAATAAAATAGTTTTTTAAATGTTAATTTTTAGAATAAAATAAAAAAGAAATAAAAATGAAAAATTTAAAAATATAAATTTTTAGAAAGAGAAAAATATTTTTTTTATATTTTTTTAAATATAAATAAATAATAATATCATTTATATATTAAATCTTTTATTACCCTCTCTTTCAATTTTAAACATTTCATAAGAGGAGGATAATCCTCTTCCTTTCCTAAATCTTTTAAGCCATTTCCTTTTATTTCTATGTGAGCTATAAATCAAAGTTTTACTGGTTTTTTTTATTGGTGGAGCTTGTTCGCTCTATGTTTAATTGATTGTAAATTGAGAAAACTAGATACTAATTCCAGTTCATTGATTTTCTGGCCCCAATTGGAGTTTTTTCAGTCAACTTTATTTTTGGGTCAATTCTCAGAATTTTTTTTTTTTTGGGGGGGGGGGGGTCAGTCAATGTGAATGGGATAGCCATGTGGAGGTTTTTGGTGTTGAGCCATCTTTTGAATGTTACCCAGAACCAAAAGGGTTATGTTTTGAGTCACTGTATGCTTAATTGATTGTGAGTTGAGTAGATAAGAGTATATTCAAACTCATTGATTTTCTGGTAAAATTTTTGAGTCCAAATTGGGGTTTTATTTGGGGTCAATTTTCAGTAATTTTCTTTTGGGTGAGTCAATGTGAATGGTATAGCCATGGGGAGGTTCTTGGTGTTGGGTCATTGTTATTGGGTCCATCTTTTGAGCGTTGTCCAAATCGAAAAGGACTAGTTTTTTTAAGTCATGTGGCTCAACAAGTCTCCATTCTTCTCATAAACTGGACTTGAGACTATTCCTCTATTGCCTAGCTTTCTTGAATACTTATACTAGTCACACTTGGAAAAAGGTTGAAAAACAAAAAGGACTTAAAAAAAAATTGTACAACATTTTGTTATTTTCTTTAAGTAATAATGTTACATCGAAGACAACAATTAGAAATAAGTTGTCTATGCTTTGTTTTTAGTAAGTGAAAATATTTTTTTAATATTAAATAACTTAATTTGTATCACTAGAGTTGTCATTAGTTAAATTTAGAAATGAAAATGTTACAATAATTAAATTTAAATAAATAATTTTTAAACATTTATAAGAATTTTAAAAATTTAATAATATAAATAAAACTTTCTTCATAAATTAAAATTAATTTATACGCTTTTAAAATTTAAAGGAATAAATTGATTTTAATTTATGAACAAAATTTTATTTATTATATATATATATATATATATATATATATTATATAAAGACTTATTCACAAACTCTCTTAAATTAGACTAATATTTCACTAATTGCTTTTGTATATAATTTAATTGAATACAAACTTTTTGTTCAATAATATTGGTCGAAATCTTAAACAAAAGTGAATACAAACTTTTTGTATTCAATAAAATATTGAATACAAACTTTTTTTCAATAATATCTTTTTTTTAATCTAGAAATAAAATTAATTCAAAAGTATGAATAGTGAGATTTGAGAAAAAACAAAGGAACTTTAGTAAGTTAAATTTAAAATAATTAAAGTTTATATTTGAGAGAAAAATACTCTCAATGTAAACAAAATTTATCTTTTATTACTGCCATATGGAAGTTTAAACTACTTAAACAGGCAGAACAGTCTTCATATCCTTGTGCATTGTTCTAATCACAGTAGTAACCTGCTCAGTTTGATCTTCATTGGAGCATGCTGCAAGAAGTACCTTGGCTGTACCTCCATCTGGGTAACAACCAGCATCAATCATTTCTTCAAATATTTCCAAGCACCTTATGTAAAGCTTTTTTTTAGAGTAGGCTCCAATACGAGAAGTCCAAGTCACCACATCAGGTTTTAAACCTTTGCAAGGCAGCAACTGAAACAAGTCTTCCATTTTGTCAATAAATCCTGCTTGTCCATACCTATTTATCAATATATTATATGTGCTAATATCAGTTACATATGATCCTTTTTCCATCACTGTCAGAACTTCTTCCATCTTTCCAAATTGTCCTAATCGTCCATACAAGTTCAGCATGCTATTGAGGACATAAGTGTCTAGTTTCAAACCAGATTTACACATTTGGTTAAGAATGTCTTCACATTTACTCACACTTCCCATTTTGGAATAGGCAGACAAAAGTACCATGTGGGACTTCATTGTTGGTGTTATTCCCACTCTTTTCATATCTTCAAAAACAGCTTCAGCATCTGCATTTCATTAAAAAGGACGTGAAAGAAGATTAAGACATAGCTTGATATTTAGAAAAGCTTAAGAAACTCTCATGATCATTACTTCTAAGAGAATTCACCTTTTAATATGTTGAAAACAGATATTATTTTTTTTTGGGGGGGGGGGTGTATTTGAAGTAATGTTATTTGCAAAATGCATACATATGATGCGAATTCTTGGAAAGAATTCATATAGATCATTTGAAGAAACAAAACAAAATGATAATTTTCAAGGGAAGGTAATTACCATCTTGAAAACCTGCTTTCCCATATGCATCGACTAAGATATTATATGAGGCTCTATCTGGTTCACATCCCATGTGCTGCATTAGTGAAAAAATTTCTGCTGCCCCATAAGGATAACCTGCACGACTGTTGGGGGAAGAAAAATCTTGATCTTTAGTCTAGATATAAAAATTCCACTGTTAGATACAAATATCTCTTGAAATGAGTTAAGTATTTAATTTGTTCATGCCACTTAGTTTTTCTTTAGGACAATAGAACAAGAATTAGTAGGCTTTTGGGTTTCATTGGGTGCATAATAAAGTTAGATTAAAGTTTGGGTGAATATATCAATAATTTTCTCCTTCGTTAAAAGATTTCCAATGAAATGTGAGCAACTAAACCCTGCAATATCAACATGCTCAACGAGAATCTCTATGCAAGAAGGAATTTATGTAACCACCTGTAAGCTTCCATGAGGGCATTATAAGCATACACGTCCGGTTCGAGCCCTGCTTCTTGCATCTGCTCGAATATTTCCTCTGCTTTCTCGCAATGTCCCTCTCTCGCAAATGCATTCACCAGTGCAGTGTATGTGCAAATATTGGGTTTGCACTTATGGCTCATCATTTCGTTGAACAATTTCAAAGCCAGAAAGGATTTACCAGCCTGCATATATGAATTTCACACTTGAAAAACATTGTTATAACTGCACTATCAAGAAAATGTTAAAAAAAAAAAAAAACTTAGTAAAGTAAGCTCACCTTTCCATATAAATTAATCAACAAGGTATAAGTTTCAGTAGAAGGGTTGCAGCCATCCCTCTTCATCCTTTGGAAAATCTCTTCTGCTTTTTCAGGATTTCCTCCTTTCATTAATCCATTTATATAAGCATTGTATACAACTGCATCTGGATTTTCATTCTGATAAATGGTTAGCTATTTTAAAGAATCAAATTTCCAGTTATCATATATGGATGCATATATAAGTTTTTTTACTAAAAGTTTGGAATAAACTCACTTTGCATTCAATATACTTATCTAAAATTGGATGTTGACAAGTCATTGAACAGAAAAGTTGGCAAGAAAACCTTTTTTCACTGTCCTAGACTCCTGGTAACCTTCTCCCAACTAAATAAAAAATGCAGCATCTTTTCCTCTTCTTATTTTATGTAACCCTTCTATTAGGATCTGTACTAGTGTAAATTGGCAGGGCTCCTTAGACTTCTGAATACTAAGATTACCTACATCACTCAGGTCCTTAAAATCAGAGTTGGAAAATTATATCATTTAAGAGAATAACAAGCTCCATTTCACTCAAATATTTCTGAAGGTTAACATGAGTGTAAAGTACTAAATATCTAGAAAGCAACTTAAATGATCACATCTAAAGAAGACACAGCAACAGAGTGTTCTGAACATACAGTAGACTGACCCAAAAACACAGATATGTAAATGTTACAGATCTGATGGTGGATTTGATACTACCACTATAAAGGTTTATTTATTATAAAGAATTCCAACCAATAAAAGACATTTCTGTAGTTGGTATACTTTTGATAGTTTTGAGAACTAACATCGTGTCAAGTTCCAAATGCTTGATTATATTTCTCTTTCAGCATATATGGGTGAACAAGTTGATTCAGGAACATACTTGAAGGAAGGCCATAATTTCGCATTTCGGCAAAGACAGCTTCAGCTTTCTCTAGCAGGCCAGACATGCAGTAGGCCTTTATAAGAAGGGCATAAGTATCTTCAGTAGGAACACATCGAGCCTCAAGAAGCTGAAGATATGTGGATTCTGCCTCCTTGTGCAGAAGCTTTTGCCCAAAAGCATCTATAAGTAAATTATAGCATATGACATCTGGTTTGAATGAGCTCCTTAGCAGTATCCATCTACATATCTGTACAGATTTTTACCTTTTTTTTGTTATGTCCAACAATATAAATCCACTAGCCAAACGCCAAACAGAAAAGAAAAAAAATAAGTGCACTGCCCAATGATTCACATGTACATAATGATATTATTATCATTATCGCTTCCCAGCTCGTATGAAATAGATGCAGACTGACACATGAACCATGACTGGATGATTGATTCATTGTGTTTTTGGAAACATGTTGAACAGTCTAAAAACACGCAGAAGTTATTACTAGTAAGGTTGAAGTAAACATAAATCCATGGTCATTCAAACTTGGAATCCAAATATGCACTCAGTGGTAAAACTTTACAAACAAAAAATAATTTGACTTGATAAAAACTGTACCAGGTAAGATAAATCTGTTACAAACAGAAAAGTACATTATTAAATATGTCCAGAGATATCATTAAGTGTTCCATTGAATAATCCTGAAAAGTCAATATTCATACAAAAACGAAAAATAAATTAAATTTTGAAGGTCTGAAGCAGCATGAGTTTCTCACCGAAATGATTGAATCCCAGTGTTTCCTCATCCGAAGTTGAACAGCCACAGTGAAAATATCATCCCATGCATCAAGAGAGGCAGGTAGCTTGTCCAGTGAAGCCCAAATGCTCTCAGCATCCACACCCTTTTCAACATACTCCAGAATCTTCTCTGCAATGGGACTCAACACAGGGAAAATCCCATCAACAAAACCAGAACCGTATTTCCATCCTCGTCCTCTCAGAGAACCACCTGGTTAAAGAAACATAAACACTTTTCAAACATGACACACATTCCAACACATGTTTCAATGAAAAGTGACAAACTTGTGTATTAATTACATCTTTTCCTTGACACTTTCTTGTGATTAAAGTTCCTTAATTTTCCATTTTTGTCAATATAAACACTGTCTCTTTTGAACTTCTCCAAGGCAACTCTACTGGAATCATTTGCTTTCCATTCAGATTCATTCATGCAAGCTCTTGGTTCTATGAGTATGTGCCTTACTGAGCATATAGAATAAAACCTGCAGATAAGTTAATTAGTTAAGTTTGAGTGCCACTTCAATATGACCATTCTTAACATCCTATTGGATTGATGTCAATGCAACGGGCTATGTCCAAACATGGGTAAGAAAGAATGGAACACAAAATTGAAATGAAGGGAAATAAATGGAATGAAGCTTACATGAAGGCACGTAGGAGAAGGTTTGAATCTGGATAATGAAAGAACGGATTTTTTTAAGGCCAGAAAATTGGTTTGTTTTTTTGCTTCTGATATGACATGGAACAAATGATAAGAACAAATGGACTAAGGAGCAAATATGAAATATCCATCAAAATATCTCAGAAAGAGTTCAGTAAGGGCCAAGCCAAGTAGAAAACAAGGTACCATGTTCGCCAAAACGATTGGTAATGTTTTTTGTTATTTTTTTTACAGATTCATACACTAGTAACTTAAAAATAATTCATGTGATTAATTATTTTCCTTTAAGTTTAATGTAATTTTTAGCTTTTCAGAAATTCACACCTCTCAATATTAATGCTATGTTTGAAGAGTGACGATGATGATACAATTTAAAAGTGCAATCATTCAAGTTCGGAAGTTTTTTTTAACAATGGATAATGAAACGATAAATACTTCTTAAAATTAAATTAAATTACAAGAAATTACTCTTCTTTTCTAAATTTTCTCTCATTTATTGAAGACTGAATCATATATATGTATAAGATTATCGAAGTTGCTTGTTTTCTCTTAAGAAATCGTATTACGTAAGAAATTTCTCTCATTTATTGAACTACTATATACGTGTTTTAATCACTTTATTTTTTAAATTCTATAAGAATTTTTTGTAAAATTTTGATTTTAAACTATAAAGTATGCATACATTCACTGAGAGTGATGACGTTTATTGTTACCTTTTTTTTTTTGGGTCAATAGTTTAAATTGATTTTATGTAACTCAATTATATAATATTTTACAATTTCTCGTAATTTAGAATTATATTTTTACTTAAATTAATATGTTGTGAATAATATAACAACGTTTTTATTTAATAAAATATTATAAAGCTTTCCATTGTTGTATCTATCTATTTATAAAATTTCAAGTCTTATTTTTGGGCTCTCCTTTCACTGGGCTCATCAAAGAATACCAAATCAACTTACAACAAAGTTTAAACTTTTTTCTTTTTAACTTTAAATACAAGAATCGTATAATATACTTACATTTTAAAATAGACCTCACATTTTTATTTACATTAAAATTAACTTTTAAAAATGAATTTCTAAACACATTGTTTATTTTAAATATTAATTCTTTCAACACTAATTTTTAAACAAACAATTTTGAATAAGTTAATAACCTTAATAGTATAAATTTATACTACAATTTATTTTTAAAAATTAAAAAAATAAATTAAATATGCTCTAAATTTAATTTTCTTCAACTTTTTAATTAGATGAAAAAAAGAAAAAAAAAACGATCTTCGCATGCCAGCTAATATGGGCCACACGATCTTAAAGCCATCATAAAAGGTGTCCAATCGTACGGCTACAGAGAGTTTTATTTCTTACAATTTTTGAGGAAAGATTTTAATTTTAATAATTAATTTTTTTTTACAAGCCCCCTCGAGCAAGCAAGGAAGCAAATAAGCGCAAGGCCACCCTCACAAACCACACTGAGACTGAGAACCAAACCTTTGCGATCGGTAACCCCCAATTCCTCCAATCCCCAACGTTTCTCATTCTCTTCTCTTCTCCCTCTTTTTTCTAATCTGTTTCTCTCGCTCCAATTTTATGCAGTGATTTCATCGAATCTTATCCAACATGTTTCTCACAAGGTGAACCCTCTCTCCCTTCCGTTGCTGCAATTTTCCATTTCAGGGTTTTTCCATTTTGCTCGATTTCGTGGCCGAATGGGTTTTACTGAAGTCTATTAGGGTTTTCTGTTGATTAATCGTTTATACTGTGAGTGAATTAGGACTGAGTATGACCGAGGAGTCAACACCTTTTCTCCTGAAGGCCGTTTGTTTCAGGTTGAATATGCAATCGAGGCCATCAAGGTGTGTCGCTTCTCCCTGATCTTTCTCTTCCATGATTTTTATATCCATTTATAAGAAAATGAGAGGGTTTGCACCTATAAGAATCTGTTTTATTCTAGGTTTCTTGTCCTTTTGTTTTTGTGTTTGTAAATGGTTTTTGATTGTTTTGCAGCTGGGATCAACTGCGATTGGGTTGAAGACGAAAGAGGGCGTCGTCCTTGCAGTTGAGAAGCGCATCACTTCGCCGCTATTGGTCTTGCCTTGCTCCATTTAATTACTTTTTTATTACAGTGGTGGGATTTTATCATCTTAGGGTGACCCATCTTCGTGTAAATGTGCCATTATCTGTCAGTGCACAATTTGATGGAAAATAAGAAAGATGCTTGTGCAGAATATTGATAGTTGACACAGATGGGGTTCACATGAATCGGATTTTGGGGGCATCCTGTTGGTTTTTGGATGTACTTCTGAAGTTTGATTATTGATGTTCATTTTAAATGCAATGTGTGTTGTGCTTGTGTGTGTAGTCGTATCCCATGGAAAATGTTGTTGTTTACCTTGATCTTCTTTTTATCATATTTTTCTTTTAATTCTGTTTTTAGAGAGTGTTTGGAAAAACATGTGAAAATAGCTTATGACTTCCGTAAGCTCTTTTCAACTCATCTTAATAAACTTCTTGATGTAGCTTATCAAAATAAGGACTTTTACTTCATGATTAAAATATGTCATGCCCTTATGTGACAAGAGCTCATTGAATAAGTACTTAATTAAGTTGTGTTTCCAAATGTATCCTTAGGTGAAAAAAAATCTCTCTTTTGGGGTAAAGGCTTAGATCATTTCTTATTAGGTCTTAAAATTAAATTATGGAAATCATTCTGTGAACAAGCAAATCTATTGTGTTGTTATGACTTTTGCCTTGTACTGTGATTGATTTGCTTGCATGGAACTTCTCTTTCAGGAGCCTAGTAGTGTGGAGAAAATTATGGAAATTGATGAGCATATAGGTTGTGCAATGAGTGGATTGATTGCTGATGCTCGAACACTTGTTGAGCATGCACGGGTGGAAACTCAGGTATTTTTAGCCCTATGGGATATTTTAAGTTCTAAGTAGTTGATTAGCTAATGATTGATATATTTTGGTTCATTGTTCTCAGAATCATAGGTTCTCCTATGGTGAACCAATGACTGTTGAGTCCACTACCCAAGCACTTTGTGATCTAGCCTTGCGTTTTGGTGAAGGTGATGAAGAGTCCATGGTAAAGAACACAGCTTTATGAATTTTTTTGTTAGGTTGTCACTTATTTATGCATTTGATAGAAATACTGATGCCTTATATATTGTGTTGGACAAATGTTGATTGTAGATATAAACTGTTATTTATTTAAAAGTTTCAGGTCACATGCATATTCTCATATTACAGCAATTGTTGAATGTGAAACTTTTATAATCAAATGCATAATCTCTCATGTAAGGTGCTTTTCAGATTGACTGGTTCAGTTGCATATGTCATAAACCTTTTTCTTTTGTACAAAATACTAAGTGGCAGTGTTCCTAGCAGTATATCATTGTGTATGCATTTTAACGTACACCATTTTTCTCTTGCAGTCTCGACCGTTTGGAGTATCTCTCCTCATTGCTGGACATGATGAGAATGGACCTAGTTTGTAAGTATTTGTTCCTTCTAATATGCAATGGCATCTTGTCAGTAATGTGGTGGAGTTTCCCTTTGGGCTAATTTTCTGTGTCCTGTGATTACTTTAGATGTTGGTTTGTCTGAATCTATGATATTCGTGATCTTTTTCAATTGATATTGTTGTTTCTATTATCTTATGATTTTATCGTGGGATCAGTGAAATTATAAAGAACGGAATTCTGGTAATTTTTTTTTTCAAGAACAATTACAATTTCACTGGTTGACCATGATCAAAGAGTGGTTAATTAGTAACCAATCATTGACTAGATTAACTACTGTGTGTTTAATGGTTTCTAAATTGGTCATATTTTTGCTGAAAATTCCTTTTATCTAATTTCTCTTTTTTTCCCCCTCTGGTTCCTTGGGGACAACTTTTCTACTTAATTTGTCACTGCCTTTCTTTCTATTGTGAGACTGTTTGTTTAAGCTTGAAAAAATGATTTAAAGATTGTCTAAAAATGTGACTTTTTGTAGAGATTTTTAGCAGAAGATATTCATTATAGTCTCAAAATAATATATAATCTGATTTTTTTTGAGAAGTTCACCCAAACATGTTAGCATATTTCAAAAGTGACTTTTTTAGCAAAAAAAAATGTTTTTTAAAGAGAAAAACTTGAAGAATTGCACTCTGTATTTTTTCTTATTAAAGAAAATAGGAACTGTGAAGTTCTTTGCTGTCATTTCATAGTCATGTTGTACTTCTCACCTTTCCTGATCATTCTTTTAATTGTTTAAAGCAATAGTTGTTAATAGCAGTGCTATGGCACCAGTGTGGCCGTCAGCCACCACAGCTGCCATGTTGCGGGGCGTTCGTCACATCGCGGCAGTTGTGGGTGGTTTGCGGCCAGAAAAGGGAGAAGTTCGTCTGTGCTAAACAAGAAACCTTTTTTTGTTTTTTCTAAAATGCATCATTTTGATTATTTTTAAGGGTAGAAAGGTCATTTATCCTTTATAAACACACACACACACACACATATATATATATATATATATATTATAAAATCAATTTCATCTTCCTCCACACTCTTCCTCTTTGCACAAAAGATCTGGACCTCAACATAGCAGTTTCTCCCCTCATCGGTTCACCCATTCCATTTTGCCAGAGAAATCAGCTTGTCCAGAGACTCACCTGCCCCATTTCACCAGAGAAATCAGCTTGTCTGGTGTCTCTCTCCTCTAATGTGTCCTCAGCTTTTCTATTCACCGGAGAAATCAAGCTTTTCTGGCATCTGCTGTGCTTTTTGTTTTCTAGCTTTGTTTTTCTGTTCATCCTCTTGCTTTGCTGTTCATGCTCTGTTTTGCTGTGTACATGACATTATATATGCACATTATAAATTTTTAAATACTTGTCGTTCTGCTATACGTAATTCCGCAATAAGGTTTTAGGGTCAGCTGCCATTTGCTGCTATGTGAGATTAACAACTATGGTTTAAAGCTATGCTATTTTAGGTTTAGCAATGTACCTTCTCCTCTTACCATTGATTTGTGGTGTAAATAGATTCTTTGTTTGGTTTAACTGTCTACCCTGTACGTTCAACTCACTGTAACGTATATATGATGTTTTTGTTTCTCAATTGAAAGCAGTTCATGGTTGCAACTAGCAACTTTGACTACCTTTATGTTGGAATAGCTGGGTGATATTTGTGTCTGTCACTTACATTTAAGGTTTATGGCTCAATTGTGTAAACAATTTTCATATTCATGTATGTCAAACACATTAATGCACATAACTGTTTAAACAGTAAATAAATGCACAAAATGAGTGTTTTTTTTTTGGTTTTTGTTGACCTAGGTTCTAATACTTTGGTCCTTAGATAAACTTAATTTATGTTTTTTAAAAAGTTTAATTAATTAAATAAGCCAGATTTGAGTTTAAGAAAAAGCTTATTAGGCCTATTAGAATGACTTATTTAAAACTCATAAAATTTATAATAATATATTAAATAATTTTATATAAAAATTATAATATAATAATATTTAAATAAATTAAATTTTAAAATAAATAAAATCTTAAATTAAAAACCTAATTTTTTTGAAGAGTGTTTTTTACTACATTCTCTCTAAAAGAGAGAGAGTCTTGCTTGCTAGAGTCTTTTGCGTATATCTTATATTTATAACAATGAATTACATTTGCATTGTCTCAATTATATCTATGACTAGTTTATTTCATCTCATCCATCATCTTCTTGCACACTTATTTATGTTGTATCATATATTATAGAGTAAGCCGTTAAAAAGGCTAATAGGCCAAAACATGCTTCTAAAAAGATTGGGATAGGCTTAATAAAAAGCTTATGACAGATAATAGGCTAGGTTTAAAGCTTTAAAATTATTAGATAGGCCAGACCTATTTATGTAAAACTTAGCCTATTTTCATTCTTAATGCTGGATGATGTGGAGTTCCTTGATGCTGGGTTTGTTCTTATCCTTTTTCATTTGGACTTCTTACTCTTACTGAATTGAAATGTTCTGATTTACAGATATTACACTGATCCATCTGGCACATTTTGGCAATGCAATGCAAAAGCTATCGGTTCAGGTTCAGAAGGTGCAGATAGTTCTCTGCAAGAACAGTACAACAAGGTATCCGCAGTTTTATAGTTAGTTCTTTCTAAACCTCCCATTCTGTGCATAACAGTGAAATTATAATTTACTGGGATTGGAAAGTGAGAAAAGGGTGAAATCATAAAGGAATGAGGAGACCTCATACCCTTAATTCTTGGTAGAGCATGTTGAGTAGAATGAAAACATCTATACAATTAATAAAATTATCAAAATAACATAAAAGATGATATACTATTCAAACAATATATTCATTTTATCCAAAATCCCAAAAATTAAATTTCACCTTCAAGATTTACCTAATATCCCTTTCTTACCAAGTGTACTTTAGCTGATTGTTCACGTTGTTTCTTTTTTTAACATTTGTAAAAAGCATAATGATTTTTGTCCAACTTTTTGTCCGTCTGTATTTTCTCTGTAATGCTACCCTGGTGACTGGTCAAATGTTTTGATAATTTTGCTTGTCAAATTAATGCAACACGATTGTCAACATGTTCCTCAATTGTTTCGGAGTTTTTCTCTATGCACTGGCACCACTCTCAGTGCTGCTTTGAAGGACTATCTTTTATGCGAAGAGGCATCACGATGACATGAAACAATGAAATTTGGTGTTTATTTATTGTGTTGTGCAGGACCTAACCCTTCAAGAAGCCGAGACTATTGCTTTATCCATTTTGAAGCAAGTCATGGAAGAGAAGGTGAGATTAAGATTGGATGAATGTTCTGCCAACTGATTGCTCCCCCCCCCAACAAAAAAAAATGGAATTGGAAGTATAAATAATTTGTTTCTTTTGTATTTTTCATCATAGGTCACTCCTAACAACGTTGACATTGCCAAGGTGGCTCCAACATATCATCTTTATACCCCCTCTGAGGTGGAAGCTGTCATAAGTCGTCTATGATTTCCTGTTGCATGGTTTTCTTTATTCAGCATTTGTACGTCTATTTATTTTTGTGAAGAAACTTTATTGATGGATGATGCTATATTAGTGCTACGCATGCGGCCAAGTTGTACGCTTACTAGATTCTCGTGTCATATTTGCTCTATTAAGTGTAGTTGAAATTGAGGACTAAATTGTTTTGATGTTTGGGAAGAAGACATGAATGCTCACAACGAGAACTATACCTGTGCTGGTTATTTTCCCCTGTAAAAGTATCAGGAAAGTTTTGTTATATCCTCTTTACTTATTTTCTTAACAACGTTCTTTCTATTTTATAAAGTAGGTATTCAATGAAAAATACATTTTATTATTTTAAAGACTGAGCATATTCAATACTTTTTTTTTAATAATGAGGAGGATTTGTTGTAACGAAGGAGAGAAAGCTATAGAATTAATAGTTAAGAATTGGGAGACTGAGGAAAAATGAGTAAATAAATTATTTCAACATCTTTTCTAATTTGCACTTTAATAATTTTTTATTTATTTATAAAGTCCTTTGCAATTTCTTTTATTTTTAAATTATATTATACTTTAGTCTCATTTTTAATGTTACATTGAGTAGGATTGTAGTAATGGTCAATTGATATCTTGTATTGAAGTCACCAAAAAATATCTTCAAGTTTAGATTTATTTCAAATGCTTGTTTTTTAAATATTACAAAAACATTTTTCAGATCTTATTAATGCTTTATATTTAAACTCATGTAATAATAAAAGTTTAGAATTATTAATACTTAAATGATGGTTTTTGAAAAATATTAAAGTAATTTAATAGAATGAATAATAAAATTAAATAGTTTTATATCTTCAAAAAAATTAAAATACTTAAAAATTATTTACATGCTCTCAAATGAGTTCATAAATGTTTTTAAATGATTTTTGAGAGATGCTTCTTTAATAAAAATGAATTTAAATGTTGTTAATTATTTTAAAGATATGAGTAATCTTTTTTATTTATTTTTTATCATGATTTTAGTTTAATATTATTTATCTGTTATGAAGATGGATTTTATAAGACTCCAAAAATAAGTAGTTCTGGACAATGAATCTAAACTTATAAGTGTATTTTTATCAATTTAATAAATATTTTTTTTTATCCTGTGCAATATTGTACATGATAGTGATGTATAATAATTTTTTATTAAAAATCATAAAAAATAATATAATTTAATGTATTTAATAAAAATAAAAATGTATTATATACAACTTATTATCTACATAATATATTAAAAATAAAAAGATAATAATCAATTACTTAGCAATGGTTAAATACAGTATTAAAATTAAGCTAAAGTATAATGTATTTTTAAGAAGATATAGACTAGAAGAAAAGTCACATAATTTTTTATTTTAACTTTAAGGAGGAGGAAGCCACCGTCTTTCCATTGGGATTTAACCACATTATTTATTTTTTTGCGTGTGGTGTAGTTTGCCCTCAACAGTGTTTATGTCTTTTGTGCGAGATCCAGCAAGTAGTTATCTTAGTACCGTATATTGTGCCAAAATTCTGGTTGGTCATTTCCACAAAAAAGTATCACTTTTCCAAAGTAAATTTTTAGTTCAAAAATGTGTTTTAATAGTCGGTTATTTTTTTAAGTGAGATAAATATATGTTTTAATTTAATTATGTTTTTTAAATGTTAAAAATTAATTTAAGTTTACTGATAACATAAAAATTATACCATCATTTAAACATAAATTATTATATTATTAAATTTATTTATTTTATAATAATTAATATAAAGATTATATTTATAATATATTTTACTAGATTAACTACTTATAAAATAATTATTAAAATTAAACAAAACTTAAGTAATAAGTTAGTAATGTCTTTTATTATAAATAAACTTTGTACCACGCGGAACACCAACCTCTGATCCCATTTTTCTATTTACTAGTCTTGTGCCCTCGTGTATCACGAGCAAGTTAACTCCGTCACAGGGTTTCTGTATTGTGTCAACTAACTCGTTGTCTAACATTTCACGTTTAAAATGTCTGTGCTACTATATTTGTAAGTTAGATAAGTGATAAATGATATATTAAAAAAATATTAAAATACATATATATATATATATATATATATATTTCAGTATCATTTTTTTATTAATATATAATTTTATCATTTTAGCATGACATATAATTAATTTTTAAAATTATAACAAAATTAAAGAGTTAATGAGAAAACAAACTTTAATTTTTAATAGATGAAGAAGTGACCGACATAAAATGAAATAAGAATTGACACAATGCAATTTAATGTTATACATGTAATGTGTATTTAACATTTTGCATAAAATTCTTAATTATATTTTTTGTTTTAAGAAGCTCTGACCATATAATTTTATAAAAGGAGAGAAGAACAATGTATAGGTAAAATGTAAATGATAGAAAAAAAAATGATAATTGAAAAAATGAATAAAGTTAGAGTGTTTAATAAAAAACAGTTTCATTATTTTTAAAAGTTTATTCTAAAGCAGTTAAAAATGTGATGTTAAATAAATGTATAAGCATATTCTTAAATATTTGACAAAAAGTATGAAGACGAATTCAATTTCAACATTTTAAAAAACATGAAGAATGGTTTCCATAATTAAATATAAAAAAACTAAAATAATAAGAGGCTTATAAGTGCACTTAAGACAGAGATTAATTAAACATCAAAAAGTTTTGGCAGTATTGTTAATGATAAATGGGTTTACCGAACCTTATTTGATGGAAAATGAAATGAATATGGAAAATTAATCAATAGAAATTGGAAACCAGCACTGGGTTTGGCTGAGGGTATAACGGGGGACCCTTGAGTTTAGAACCCGAAGGAAAGGTTGGGAGATTAGTTTCCTCTTCTTGGATGCTATATAATAGACTTCTTCCCATTCTATTCCAATTCCATTGTCATAGCATTCAGATCCCTCACCTTACCAACCTAATTATTTCTTCACTTCCTTTTTCCTTTCTTTTCTTCATTTTCCCGCTGTTTTCTGTGGCATTGTGGCATTTGAAATTCCCGGGGAAAACTTTGATTTCCCTGATTCCTAAAGCTGTATTTGGTTCAATTCGATTGGTTAGTTGTGGTTGTGACGCAGCTGGAAATGGCCGGTGAGTCGCAAAATTGGGTGCTCATGGTGACTGCACAGACACCCACTAACATTGCTGTCATCAAGTATTGGGGGAAGAGGGACGAAACCCTAATCTTACCCGTCAATGATAGTATCAGTGTTACTCTTGATCCTAGTCATCTCTGCACTACCACCACTGTTGCTGTCAGTCCCAGCTTCCAGCATGATTGTATGTGGCTTAACGGCAAGGTAAACTTTATTTTTCTATTTGGTTTATATGGTTCAATTTTATGAATGCTTTCATTCTTTTCCTTTTATATATATATATATATATATATATATATATATATATATATATTTTAAATTTTTTCCCCCGATTCTTTAGTGTGTGATAGGGAATGGACACTTATGTGCATCTATTGGAACTTGTTTTTTTTTTTGCCAGAAGTGCAAACTGTAATGCCTCACTATTAAAGCTTGATTTCATTGTCTTCAAATCTCTTGATGAACTTTTTTCTTTAGATAATAAAGTGATTATTATCATAACTTAATCATGATATTTTTATTTAATTTTGACCAGGATTATGTTTTTTTAATAATTTTAAAAGGTAAAAGACCAATATTAATGTGATAATGATGACAAACTAATACAAATATAAGCTATAATAAAAAAATAAATCAAGAAAAATAAAATAATAAAATATAAGTAATTTATAACAGTAAATACCTTTTGCTTAATATACTTTGTTATACCCGTATCTTATTTTTAAAAGAAATCATCCTATTCACGTGTTAATCGCCCCTGATACTAATACCATACCTGTTTAACATGGAGCAGAAGGCAAATTTTCTCTTCATACAGATGAAGAAAAAATGCAGACGGTTACCCTTAAAAAAATATTTAGAGCTAGTTTGGATAAACTTCTGCACAAACACTTCTCTGAGAATAAAATAAAACAAATCAATGAGTTAAAATGAATCAAACTTCTTTAATGAGTTAAAAAGTCAACTTATGCACCTTAACTTGTTTAGAAGTTCTTTCATCTAACTTGTGACACATAAGTTGATTTTTAATTTATGGGAAAAGTTGACTCATTTTATTTTCTTCCCCTGTTAGTGCTTAGAAGTTTATTCAATCTGACTCTTAGTCAAGGTACAATTAGACAATATTTCTTATGTCTCGTATCCATTTTATTATCCTGGGTTTACTTTCACATTCCTATAAATTTAGAACAATAGGAATAGCAACTGCTTATTTCTGGATTTGTTTCTATTTACTGTCTAGTTAAAAAGAATGGACAAAAATGCATGTTTCAAAAATAGTAAATGATAAAAAAAGAGGTCTTCTGGTGTGTATAGATACTGGCATAGTGATTTGTTATTCTATTCCTTTCTGTTTTTGATTCATGGAATTTGGTTTTACTGGTTAGTGTAGGAGATTTCTCTTTCTGGGGGCAGGTTCCAAAATTGTCTAAGGGAGATCCGTGCTCGTGCTTGTGATGTTGAGGATAAGAAAAAGGGTATTAAGATCACAAAGGAGGATTGGGGCAAATTGCATGTACACATTGCTTCATACAACAACTTCCCTACTGCAGCAGGGCTAGCTTCATCAGCTGCGGGTTTTGCCTGCCTCGGTAATACACTTGATAAACTTCAATTTTTTATTTACCTTTCTTTCATTCAATAGTTATGTATCACAACAGAGTGGATTGGATTAGTGGCTACTGGCAAGGATTTGAGCAGTTATCCATTAGTTCCTTAATTCTTACCACAGAGTGGATTCCATCACTTTCTATATTATAAAATAGCATTTTTCATGCTTTGAGCTTAATATGGGTTGCATGGGTCAATCCATCAAATCTGGTTGTAATTGGTTGGCTGCTTTAGCATGGTTTAAGGTCTAAACCAAACAGAGCATTAAATTAGGCATTGCATTGGCTGATTGGTTCACCTGGTTTCCAAAATCTGGATTTGAATGTATCAGTCAGTACCTTCTTGCTAGTCTGTTTATTTGTACATCAGGTGGAGGGGACTTCTTGGGGAAGGGAAATGAAACTTTTTAAAATTTTGTGAAACAAAATATAGGTTCGGGGATGTGAGGTGAGCATTAAAGACTAAGACAAAGAATGATGGGCAGAAAAAGTGAGGGAAAGACCAAAAAGAGAACAACACTCAACACTGTTGTGTTGTTATCAACAGTCAGGAAATTCTCTAAAAATATGACAAAGGTGGTGATAAATGAACTTGGACTAGGAAAACAATATTGTTGGTATGGATACTGGATTCGGGTCACCATTGGACGGTTTGCAGTATATGCCAGCCATTATGGAGGGGCTAAAGTACTGAATTACATTCAGTTTCTGAAAGACAATATTGCGATAAATTTAATTACTGGTTCAATTTTTTATGCCTTAGGGTTGGGTTCATAGAGGACCAGCCTTATTCTTTTTTGAAGAATTTTCGTAATATTGTATCTAACACTATTCTTTGGAGTTATGTGAAGTTCAAATTTCATTTTTGTTTTGCCTAATGCAATCTCAATCTAATTTGCATGCTTTCTTATTTGAAATAGCAAGGTTCTTGGTGCTTATTAATTTTATATTAGGCTTAATATTAATTGCCACATGCTTAATATTAGTTACCACATGTCATAATGATTTCATCTTCTGTTTTGCTTTTGCAGTTTATGCCCTTGGGAAGCTCATGAATGTTAAAGAAGATGAGAGCCAGCTATCTGCTATTGCAAGGTCTCTATTTAGTCAATGGCTTTAAATTTGCAAGGGATGACTTTGTTTGGACAATTACTTTAATAACATCATGTAGCAATTATGAAAATTGTCATTATGTGCAGGCAAGGATCAGGTAGTGCTTGCCGCAGCTTATTTGGGGGATTTGTGAAGTGGATAATGGGAAAAGTAAGTTTATTTATTTCCTATTTTATAATTTTGTACAGCATCATGTTATCTGAGAATCCATTTGTAACATAATTTTCAACATTTGTAGGAGGATGATGGAAGTGATAGTTTTGCAGTTCAACTTGCTGATGAAAAGCACTGGGATGATCTTGTTATTGTCATTGCTGTGGTACGACACACTTTTGGTCTTTATTTAATTGAATGGATGAGTTTGCTATTGAGTTTTGACTGTGATAAGAACCTTGGGAGAACTACACCCTAAAAGTTAGCAATTATAGTTGAAGAGTCCAAGGCCAAGGTCTTATAAATCTTACATTAGAATTCCATACTTTAATGTAGGACTCAAGTTCCATACTTTGCCATTGGATCCTATCAGACTACTAACATATTTCAATAAAAATGATCTGTTGTGCTCATTTCACAATTTAAAGCCCTTTGGTTGTGGTTTCCAGTTTCCATTTCTTTCTTTCAAGCTTTGTTGCAGTCAGTTCATGCTTCATTTTGCCTTATTATTCACAAGTAGGCTAAGATAATATTTTTTCTACATGACTAAACTTTGATTTTGACTTTTTCTGCTAAAAGTGCTGGTTTTTATTCATTAATGTTCTACCTTATATAAACACCGTTGTTATCATGGGAGTCAAAATCGCGTACCGGATCGTAAAATTGCACTGTAAGTGCAATTTTACGATCTCCAACTCCTTCTCCGTGCTAGTTCGGTGCTAGGGTCGTGATTTAGCAAGATTGGGTGGGATCGGCGTGCTAGAACGTAAAACCGGTAAGCATGGACGATCTCCTTGTGTTTTCAAACCCAATTTTTAACTCAATGACCCGTAATCCAGTTTGCTTGAAAGTCTAAAATTGATTTTGTTCTGTGATCCCTAAACCTTTCCTATGATCTGCGACTTTTTTCCTCTGCTCTGCGATCGCTATAGCTTTCGCTCTGGTGATTGAATCTGCTTCGACGACCTGCTCTGCACTAGCGACCTTGTCATAGCGGAGCGTTTTGCTGCAGCAACCATCACAGCTGTATTTGTAGCTATCGTAGCCTAATTTGCAGTGCAACAGTGCTGCTGGAGCAAAAGTTGTCAACTTTCCCTTTTGTTATTAAAATGATTCTGTTTTAAGTTTTTTTTTAAGGGTAAAATAGTCTTTCCAACAGAATACATTACTTAATCAATCTTTTCCTTCTCTTATCGGGCTCTGTTTTTAATGGGTAGTATGTCCCTGTTTCTATTTTGAGTTAAGGTGGTTCCTTTTCCTCATTTGTCTTTGTTTAGCTTCTTTCATTTTTTTATTTATACAATTTTATATGCATTCATACAATTTAGTAGAATCTTACTATCTGTGTTACGATCTTACGATTACGATCTTACACTCCTTGCTACTTATGCCTCAGATAATAGAGGCTTTAAACTTTGAGTTGTAGAATTTGCTGATGGTTAAATAAGAGCTGTGCAAGATTTTCCACATTCTGATTTTTTTTTAATTTGTTTAAGCATATTATTTATCTTGTCGATTAGTTTTTTCTATTTCATCTTAGTACTATGTATCTACTTTATTGTATTATGATTATGACATATGGATATGCCATACTTTGCTTAATATTCCTATATTATTATCTTTTTCTAGGTTAGTTCACGGCAGAAGGAGACTAGTAGCACTGCAGGAATGCGTGAGAGTGTTGAAACAAGTTTGCTATTGCAACACAGGGCAAAGGTACTTCATTCCCTTTGTACAAGTTTTGCACCAATCATGTAGATGAGGTTTTTTTTTTGTGTGTGTGTGTATTAGAGTAGATACATTCCTAATGTAGGTGGTGTTTTGTTAGAGTAGAGCTTCAACAAAACTTGTTTGGACTTGTAAAAATTACTTGTGGCCTGCCTATAAGTTCCTTTCAACTTATTTCAGTAACCTTTTTATATAGTTACGCTTATGAATAAACTCTCATATGATAACCTCTTGTTGAATAAGTGCTTAATTTAGTTATTTACCCAAAAGCACCTGTATACTATAGAAAGGGGACCCCCCTTGGCCTTTTCTAGAATCCTGACATTATGTGCTTTTAATTATTAAAATTGTTATTGCAATTCATTTGTTCACACTAAGATCTTACTTCATGCTACTTACTATTCTTCATAATTTATTTTCCACTGTTTCTTTATCAATTTGAAAGTGTGAATAACACTAGTTATCAATTATGAATGCGTGTAAGTTCTGCGGGCTGTTCACTGCCCATTGGTATATAAACAACTATCTCATTGTAAATTAGTTTATATTATTTTTTATTTGTCATTTATACATTTTTTACTGCAATAGGAAGTTGTACCAAAGCGGATACTGCAAATGGAAGAAGCCATAAAATATCGTGATTTTGCAACTTTTTCACAACTGACCTGTGCTGATAGCAACCAGTTTCATGCAGTCTGCCTGGATACACGTCCCCCCATATTTTACATGAATGATACATCCCACAAGTAGGTGCTGATAATTGTGAGAGTTGGTTATTGCTATTGCATCTTGGTGATTAGATCACAAGTGTGGTACAGTTCTTTTTCTAATTTATCATCAATGGTGCTATTTCACTTCAGGATAATCAGCATCGTCGAAAAGTGGAACCGTTCAGAGGAAGCTCCCCAGGTTTGAATTACTTTACTGGTCATATTATAATCATATGTAGAACTGTTTATTCCAATGGACAAAACTTGTTACGTGTAACAAAGATTAAAAGAAATTCATTTGAAGTTTTATGCTATGCCAAACAAAAGAATAAAATCTTAGAAGAAGTTATGCATTTGCAAATGGGTTTGTCTAGAAGGAATTGGTTGACATGTTGATCAAACTCTTTTGTAACTGTACAGCTTTTGAAGTTTTGCTCAAATTTTTAGTCATGCTTCAAAACATCAGTGTTCTTCAGAAAGTTTCTTTCTTACTGAACTTTTCATCTTTTCTTTCTTACAATGAACAATGGAAAGGGAACTTCCTATCTCGAGTTTTGTGGTACATTGCTCGCTTCTTGTTGAATGCCTGTAATATCTATTCAAACAGACAGGGCATCTGACGTGTACATTATTTGGGGATTGATTTGACCTATTCTCTTTGTTCTTCTCGTTCTGTGAAGCTTTCCCACTTCACTACTATCCATAACTTAGTTTCCTGTGTCAATATGCCCCTACCCCACATCTAATTTATTTATAATCTCCATGTGAATAATATGTATGCATATACCTATGTTTGGGCTTTGTGCATAGATATTCATATTACACGGGCATGTTTAAACAAACATGTACAAATCTGTAGATTTCCATTTAAATATTTGGTTAGTTATGATTTGCAGGTAGCTTATACATTTGATGCGGGACCAAATGCTGTTCTAATTGCACGTAACAGGAAAGCTGCAACCCTTTTGATTCAGAGGCTGCTTTACTACTTCCCTCCAAGTTCAGATGACCTCAACAGGTGCTTTCTAAGTTTTTCAAGTTGCATGCATACTGTTAGATTTTTTTGTCAAATCTTGAATTTCATAGTTACCTGCAAAACTCTCCGCCCTTCAGTTACATTATTGGTGACAAGTCAATTGCAAAAGATGCTGGGATCATTGGAATACAGGATGTAGAAGCTTTGCCACCACCGCCAGAAACTAAAGATAACATTCCATCACAAAAGTACAAAGGGGATGTTAGTTACTTCATCTGTACGAGACCTGGAAGGGGACCTGTTTTGCTTTCTGATGAAAGTCAAGCTCTTCTTAACGGTGAAAATGGGTTTCCAAAGTAAGTTTATGTCTATTCTTCATCAGGCTTAACCAACAGGCTTTATGAGCCCGAAATATTTTGACTGGAGGACCCTTTAAAGGAAGCCCGTGGTGCCATTGGCATGATTATTTGTTCATTCCAAGTTCGCAGATTGTGTTTTTCTTTTTTCCTTTTTTTATGTATCTGTATTGTTTTCAAATCTAGTTAGGCTATTTTGTTGGAGAAAAATAAGTTTCGTCCTTTTCTGTAGTGAGCAAAGCAACTTCAATTCACTTGAGCTTGCAAGTTGAACTCGTCGGTTTCTTACAAGGACAATTTCCATACTTTGTTTTATTTTGATGAAGCGTTCCATTTTCTTTGATCGTACTTCCGCTCAAAAAAGATGATCAGTCACCTAATGGAATGACCCCAACAGTTAACATTTTGTTTGAACCTACTCACATGTAACTCGGAAGCCAAACAGAACCTGCACCACGCAGGAGACGTGCTTGTATTTTGATACTGTAACTTGATGTCAATGCCGTAACTCGCCAAGCAAGCACTATAGCAAGATTAAAGGAGAAAGTACCGCACTGGTTTGACAAGCTACCCAATGTGAACTAACCCCTGAAGCATTACTCGGTTGAGACGTCAAACGTGATTCCTATTCAATCCTAACAATAATTCTTGCCACCTAGTTCAGCTTTGCAGAAAAAGTGTCCAGTCTCTGCCGTTATCCCAAGCAGCACTGCAATACTCGCATTACAAAAACAACACGTAAATAACAACCATCGGTTGTGTAATCCATCTTGGTTATGGTTGGATGATCTATCTCCATTGATGCTAAATATTTTACTCCAATCACCAAGTCGAAATGTGGTTTTAAATGGGTAAAGCATATGGATGATCTATACTAATAGACGTCCAATATATTAAACAAATAGGTTTTAATAAACATAAATAATTAAGTGCATCATCTTTAGTTTATTTTGACTTTATTTTTTATAGATTGATCAATAACCTATTTTCATAAAATGCTCAAATGACATCAATTAGAGGCAACATAGAAACTATTCTTACACCTAAAACTTTAATATATTAAATGTTGTACTTTATATCTCACTTTTCATTTCTTGATTCAATTTATTAGTCATTGCATGATTAGCTAAACCGCTTGTAATGATAAACGCAATACTTAGATGGAAACCCTCATTAGATTATATAAGAACTGAAATTTCAGCATAAGAGCGAGGCAATTTATATTATAGAAATAAAGCATCCCACTAACATGGGATTAATATACTCGCTCTGAATTACGTGGTTTGAACTCTAGCCTCAGCAATCTGGTCCTGGGTTGGGATGCCAGCATGTTCGAATTGGGTTCAGATGCAAGTTACTTTCTTTTTGGTTAAGAGAAGCAAGTTACAATATACAAGAAAACGAAGCAGAAAGGCCCCAAAAACCTATCTTGGGCTAACGGAAGGACTGGTTTCCCTTAATTTTGAGCCACTCGTATAGTACAAACTAAGGATCCTATGTTTAAAAAAAAAAAGCCATTTGTTAATATCTTGGCTATGGTTATCTCTGTCGTGGGGATGTCGTATGTTATATATGGTCAAAAGTGTGAGTGGCGCCATAAAACGCAGGAGCGTACAAACGCCCGTGCATCTTTGTTGGCAATAGAAATTTGTATTTTAAAATGAATAGTACAACTAATGCTTAGCGTTTCTAAACTCAAGCTTGGGTTAGAAGAATACTTCGACAAAAATAGGGTGGTTGTCGTTTCACCTTCAAGATGATGGGTGTAATTATATTCTTTAAAAAAAAAATTTGAAAAACTAACATTAGTCTTTAAAACTAATTTTCATATGCCTAAAATTAGCCCTTAGATGACCGATGTTAAGAAAATTATTGAAAAAATGTGACGGGCCCAAGTGAGTAGCATAGTAATTGAACTCGAGTGAGTTTCAGTTTCATCTAATTGTCATGTGTTCACTACAACGCCAACTCAAACGTCCCTTCTTTCTCAAAATAAAAGCTATGCTGTGGGTTTTCATCCCCTTTTTTCGTTTCTGTTTAATGGTAGCATTAAGAAATTTACAAAGCAATTATTATTTCACTTACTGGGAGTTAATCTCTTCTTTTAGATTCAATTTTTTTAAGAATTATTATTTGATATAGACAACTGGTTTAGGATTTCTCCTTAAATTGTTTTTTACTCTAACGACTTAACAAAAGCAAATGCAAATGCTGCCCATATCAGTCAAATATGTGAGCTTAAATCTCTATGCCTCGAACAAATCATGTAAGCAGATCATGTTCTACATCTAACTCAACATTCTAAAATATTAATTTATACGAGTCTTGCTCAAATTTTTTCCAGGTCTACCCAACTTGGACTTCTCTACACATGCATACTGCCTCAACAAAATATATTATAAAGATCAATCTACTTATTCGAGAAGTAAAAAGCAGAAAAGTGCTACAGATATCAATTACTACAGTAATGTCAACAAGTAAAAGTAACATATTTCCATGGTCCACTCTACCGGAAGTCATGCCTTAATGAAACACTTTTTGTCAACATAAGGCCCTTCTAAATTACAAAACCTTCCCTCCTTTGTTGGGACCCTTCACATTGTGCTCTCACCTTGTGCTTCCATGGCAAAACCAAAGCTTGACCTTCTGTCCTTTCTCTTTTTCTACACCCTCTTGCTAAGCTTCTTCCACTGCACATTATCACTGATCGACGCAGAGGATGAGCCAAGTTGGATTACCATGGAAACTGAAGAAGTTAACATGGTGCAAACCCGGAGAGATTCTTGGAAAAAATGTGATTTCTCTGTTGGAAAATGGGTTTTTGATCAAGCTTACCCTCTCTATGATTCCAATTGCCCCTATCTCAGCACTTCAGTTACTTGTCAGAAGAATGGAAGGCCAGATTCTGACTATGAGAAGTGGAAATGGAAGCCATTTGGTTGTTCAATCCCAAGGTGCATGTTTATATTATCTAAACTGGAGGAATTGTTCATATTGCCACCCTGTTGTTATCTTATATGCTTGCATGATCATTTTTTTTTTCTGTTTGTTACTAATACCATAGCAAGCAGGGCTCAAAATTCAGTTGGAAAATAGACGTTCACTTGCAATTAGAGAACTTAGGCAGTTAACAGTTTGTAATCAATTCCCTCTTGGCCACTAGCAAAGCTGCTTAAAAATTTGGCTTCTTGATGACACCTACAGGTTTGATGCACTGGGATTTCTTGGTAAAATGAGAGGAAAGAGAATAATGTTGGTGGGTGATTCCATCATGAGAAACCAATGGGAGTCTCTGGTTTGCTTAATTCAAGGAGTTATTCCAACTAATAGAAAAAGGGTGACCTATAATGGTCCTTCAATGGCTTTCCATGCAATGGTAGGACATCAATCAATCTTATTCTCCTTTTCCTTTTAAAATGATTAACCGTATATTGTTTACATGCAGGATTTTGAGACATCAATTGAGTTCTTCTGGGCACCATTGTTAGTAGAACTGAAGAAAGGGCCTGAAAATAAGAGAATCCTACATTTGGATTTGATTGAAGAGAATGCAAGGTATTGGAGGGGAGTTGATATTCTTGTATTCGATTCAGCTCACTGGTGGACTCACTCTGGTCAAACAAGCTCGTAAGAAATCTTTCTCATTCTCTAGTATTTTTTTCCCCTCCATAACTTAATTCTCAGTATATAATGACATTTCGTAGTCTTGTCCTTAAGTATGTATCAATATGTACCTGTTTGCCAGTTTCACATCTTAATGGATTCATTCTTGATTAAAATCAGGTGGGATTATTACATGGAGGGAAATAGTATCATCACAAACATGAATCCTATGGTTGCCTATCAAAAAGGACTCAGCACATGGGCAAGGTGGGTGGACCTAAATTTGGACCCTAGAAGAACCCGAGTATTTTTTAGAAGCATGTCACCTAGGCATAACAGGTACAATGATCTATTTCATTGCCTAATTAAATCAGACTGAAATTATCATTTATAGCTATTCTAAGCTCTATGGTTACTTATTTTTATATGTAGACAAAACGGTTGGAAATGCTATAAGCAGAGGCAGCCTTTACAATTTTTCAGCCACATACATGTTCCTGAACCACTTGTAGTGCTACAAGGAGTGCTAAAAAGAATGAGATTTCCAGTATATCTTCAAGATATTACAACAATGACTGCTTTCAGAAGAGATGGACATCCTTCAGTGTATAGCAAGGCTATAAATGAAGAGAGGCAGAAAGCAGGTATTGGTCTTTCCTCTGATTGCAGCCATTGGTGCCTTCCTGGGGTGCCAGACATTTGGAATGAGATGCTGAGTGCGTTGCTCTAACTATAACTACGATGGAATGTTATGGAAAATGTAAGCATGTTAAACAAGTCATCTAGATCAGGGTTTATTTTTATCATCTAGAGCCTGCAAGAACATGGTTGTTTGTTTGAGTGCTTTTTTATCATTAATGTTATCTGATCGATAACGCTACTCTTGGATTTGTCATTCTGATTTACACAAGCAGACAAATCACCTTTTTTTCGTAATTTTAAGTGAAGATTAATAAAACGGAAAAAGTCGCATATATATGTTATGTCTTAGGAAAAGTATGTTAATGTAAAACCGGTACCTTCTAAGTAACCAAACAACCTTAAGATTCTTAGGGAGATCTCCACGGCTTCTACCTAGAATATTACAAAAGGGAAGAAAACTTGAAATAGAATATTACAAAATAAATGGATTAATTTCTTTAATTTATTTTGCAATAAAGAGTGTCTCATAAAAACAATATGTCCTCTTTTCGTCGCTTCTACATTTGAAGGTGTTTGACACTAATAGTCATGCCTTGTTGGTTCCCCAATAAAAAGTATGACACCTAAACGCACATGGAAAAGCAAAGTGCTTGTAAAAAAATGCAACAACCAAAAGGGCAGGGGAATCATTAACAAATTAGCTTCTGGAGCAGTTACAGCTTCTTTCAAATGATGCTGCTGGATTAAAGCCCCTTGGCAGAAGCAAAGCTTAGCAGAATGGGAAAGTAAAGAGTAAAGCAACACATTCGAAACATGCCCCCCAACCACTCCTTTGATATTTAGCTCAAACGTGTATAATTGAACCAGATATCAATGATTGTGTTAAAACTTCAAAATATAGACAGAAGGCAAAGGCAAGAAGTTGGAAATAAACTCTTCAGCTCCTTCCTTAACTGAAGGGAAGTGAAAAGTTAAAATGAAAGCACTTCTATACTAAATTATGGTAGCTCTAAAATCAATCCTTTAAGTGAGAAGGACTGAATTATTAAAATAACTAACTACAAATCAATTGAATGACTTTCCACTGTGGGGTATTTTCAACTAATCATCAGCCATGTTCTGCAACAAGTATCATCCTAAATTTTCCACTGTGCATCATGTGGATCTTAAGTTCTGATTCAACAGGCTTCAATGTTTTTATTTGAACCACTGTCTCCATAAACAGAAAATGCATTTTAACTAGGTGAAAACCTCTTCTTCAACTTGGAAAGCTCCTTAGGTGTCAGTCCAAAAGCCTTCTCCAAAAGCTCCTCCTTTATGTCAGAAGCAAAGACTGCATTTGGAATTTTCATCAAGCCAGGATTTTGGCTATCAAAACTTCCCAAAATAGTAGCAGGCCCATCTCCAACATTCATCTGAAAGTGCACTAGGCCTCTTGGGAACACCATCACCTGTCCTTTCTCTAATACTTTGGCAAAAATCTTGTTCTGGGTGTCAACAAATCCTGAATAAATTTTTCCTTCCAGCACAAAAGCAACCTCTGTTGCTCTTGGATGGAAGTGGGGCACATTGACACCACCAACATCAAAATCGGCTCTTACAAATGACATCCCAAGAGTGTTCAATCCCGGAAAGTTATTAGAATTCACTGCCATTGAAGAAAAGCCAGTTTGCTTGAAGTTACCAGGTGACTTTATACCAGAGAAGGTGAAATCTTCTACTGTTGCTGTGGATGAGTTCTTACAAGTGAAGCTGCTATCAGCTGATTTGGCTATGCAAAAGTCCATGACTGGATCAGGGTCAGAAGCCATAGCAGCAGTGACGAAAAGCAAAAGAACTAATAGAACTGCTACTTTCTTGATCATTGTCAATATTTGGAAGGTGGTTTTGAAGGGAATTGATTGGTTAATTTGGCTGAAATGTTCTACACACTGATGGCTAGAATCATTTGAGATTTAGGTGGGGTGAATCAAGTATGCTGTGGAGTCAGAATAGAAGACTTTGCTGCACAAATTGTCTCATCAATTATTGAGCACTAGTATTTATAGGCGCTCAAGTTCATCTTTTCCTCGTCAACTTTGCTTTGTAATAAAGAAAGGTTGCCTTAATTATGTTGGGCCATGTAATGACAACATTGGCCAACTCATTCTTTTGCTTTATTCATTGCATTTTATCTGTCTTAGAAGTTAATGGATTGGTCGTAGTGAATTTTTCCCAATGGTCAGATTATTGCTTAAAGAACACCTACCAAAAAGATAGTGAACTGGCCAACCTGCTCACCCTATCAAATAATAGAAAACTCTTCAACGCTCCAAATTGAAAAAACATGGATTTATTTTGATAAAATATTTATATTTAATGTTATTGCATATTACTCAAATGAAATTCTAATTTTGATTGAAAAACAAACATAAATAATTGCAATTAATCTTATAGTTATCTTTAGCAATATTTAAGATCTCTCATCGTTTGCTTGAAAACCTCACGTGGCAAATACTCGAGTTTGGTGTAAGACTAGGATGGAATAGTCCTTGTGATTTATAAATCATACTTGTTATAATCCTTGGTCAACGTTGGTGTTCCAGATCTCGCCCTGCATTGACTAACGTAAACGTTTATCCTCTTCTTTAAATGTAAAACAACTTTAAAAAAGGACGTTTTATAAAAATCAAAATGTATTTTATGTTTGTAAATAATATATTAAGAATAAGTTTGAAAAAACAATTTTATTTAAATGATATAGTAATTTTAATATTAATCATTCATATATGACTATATAATCCAAATTTATAATTCTCACAGGATATAACACAATACAATCAATAAACAGAGTCAAAATTTAATAAAATGAGACATTTAATGATTTTTTTTGTGTGTAAATATTAGCTTATATCAACCTCAATTTATTTAATTTTTTTCAAGAACTCTTTAAATATTGTCATTTCAAAAAATTAAATCAAATTACATTAAAAATGTGTTAATACGTACAACTTAAATTCAAAAAAATTGGAAGTAAACGAGTTAAATGATTGTATTTGGTAAACAAACACAATTCTTCTCAAACATACCATCTAAGCTACAATAGCTGGGTCATAACTCATTAAACAAAATCAAGCGTATTTGCAGCAAGATTGGGGAGCTAGTGTGGTGCATATCTATAGTGTACCCCGACTTGTTAGATTCCCAACCTAATGTGAAACAGAACAGTTACTTTCATATAATGTTTTTAGAGTTACTAATTCCCGTAGTATAGTCTTAATTTAATTTAATTTTATATTTGGGTTTTGCACCTTATCTTACCCAAAAAACACATGTATTCTTTTAAAAAGGCTTACCATAAAAAGGCCGTAATTTAAAATATATATATACAGAATCTAACCTAAGATTCTTTTTACTTTCCTGAAAAAACATGTCATTTAGGTTCTCAAACATATAATACCTGAATTTACATTTTTGAATAATGAATTTAATATCAAGAATCCTTGGAACAGTTTTGGGGAAAAAATACCCTTGGATAGTTGGGCCAAACTGCTCCTAAAACCATGAGTTTATTTACCCGAGACAACTTATATATATAACTACTCGGTAAAACGTCAAAGACAATACATTTATATTATTCTTATACTTGAATTTGACACTGTTATTAAGGTTATAATTTCCTCCACAGCAAAACAATTTGTTCGTTTATTAATTGTGGAAAAAATATCATTAAACAATAAAAAATTTATGAACCACCTTACTGCTTGAGATGACCTGATTGACTGATTTAGAGTGAACCAAACAAATAGTGACTAGTGAATCTCCAAAATGAAATTATAATAGCGATGGCTGTTGGGAACAAATATTGAGTATCTCTCATTTAGATAAACTCAATGAGAAAAAATAGAAACTTGTAAACTAATCATTATTCTGGCGTTATAATGTTTTTGTTGTCTTTTTTTTTTTTTTTTACTCTCTCAATTTTAACTTGCGTATATTGTCAGTTGTTTACTAAAGAATTTAAATTAATAAATATAACTGGTCCAAAGACTAGGCAAAAACGATTTGACTTCAAAAGTATAAAATTTTCTCGCCACACCTAACCATTTTCCTCCGCAGCAATTGCCAATGCGAAAACCTCGTCAGCTGTTGTTGCTTAATATACATAATGGCAGAACCAAAGGTCACAACAATGAGTCACCAGCAGCATTCTTGGCCTTTTCTCGTACCATTGTCTTGACAAACAGCTCCCCAGCCCTGTACGAAGATCGCACCTGCAAAGCTCAGATAAGGATTCCGAATGTTATCACAGACCTTCATATGTCAACTCATACTACAAGAAGGGTACAATCAAATTCTAATGCATTTGCTAAGAGCTTACCAGAGGACCACTGGCTACATAACGAAAACCAATAGATTCCCCATATTCCTTCCAAAAAGCAAACTTCTCAGGAGTAACATACTCTTTGACAGTTAAGTGCAAAGGAGTTGGCTGCAGCAATAAAATCTTTCAAATTAACTAAACTTCACAACAGGTCAACAATCAATAAGAAAGAAAACCAGCAAGGTGTATTGTCAACTGAACCAACCGTACAGTTAACTCGTGTAGATTCAATAAAAAATGATATCGCAACTTAAAATTATAAGATCATGTGAAAGCTGAGCGCCATTTGTAAGCATGGATAAAATTTTAAGATTTAGTTTCTAATCTGTGAGAAGCAGGTCCCGAAACCATCAAAGCATTTTCCATTAACTAACCTGCAAATATTGACCAAATGTAAGAATATCAACATCAATGGCCCTTAAATCAGCCATTGCTTCCTTCACCTCATCATCAGATTCTCCAAGGCCCAGCATTATAGAAGTTTTTGTTATCATGCCCTCCTTGCTATATTTTGCATGTTTTAGAACTGACAGGCTTTGCTCGTACCTGCAACCATACAACATATAAGAAATAAATGTATCTGTACTTACTCCTTTATGCATTCATTATATTTAAGCTTCAATATTTCCATTAAAACAAAATAATGGTTTGTGGTTGATATTATGGCAAAGCAATTGAATCAACAACACAACTTACCCTGCCCTAGGATCTCTAACAATTCTTTGGAGGCGTTTGACTGTCTCCACGTTATGAGCAAAGACATCTAAACCTGAGTGAACCAGAGTTTCTACAGCATTCAGATCACCCCGAAAATCAGAGGTTAAACACTCAACCATGATCTCTGGTTTGAGATTCTGCAAAACCAATTATAAAGACAACAATCAGCATGTATTCCAAATTGCATTGTATATCTTGTAAATTGCATCATAAAACAACATTCCAAAATATCAAGCACCTTCATAGCTTTGACAGTCTGAGCAAAATGGCCACTTCCTCCATCAGGTAGATCATCACGATCCACACTTGTTAGGACAATATAATCCACACTGCAAAAAATAATGGTAAAGTATAATTTGTTAACAATATGCATTTGAAACTGTTGTAAGTTATTTTCTATTATTTCAATTTATTAGGTTAGTATCATAGTCAATAAGTAATTTTGATATTTTAGGAATAATTTAGTTTGTTAACAATCCGTAATAAACTATTGTTGCTGTGTTCTTTCTCCATTCATTCTTCTCACAATTCTGCTTATTTCCTTTTCTTCGTTTTATTTTACGTTTTTTACCATAAAACCATCATAATTAACAAGGAATGAGATCTGACAAAGTTTAAGATGCACACGATTTAAAGACTATCGAAGAAAGGGTAGAATGACTTACCCCCAACTTGCAATGGCCTTGGCAGTGTTAAGAGGTTCCATAGGATCAGGAGGGGGAGGGTTTCTGCTGGTCTTGACGGCACAAAATCTACATCCACGGGTGCAAGTGTCTCCAAGAAGCATGATTGTTGCGGTTGCAATGCCATCACCACCTCCATTCCAACACTCTCCAATGTTGGGGCACTGTGCCTCCTCACACACAGTGTTAAGCTTCAAATGGGACAATGAATCTTTTATCTCTTCGAACCTTTCGCCTTGAGGAGCTTTCTGCCTCAACCACTCAGGCTTCTTAACATTAGGGTCTCTACCAGTGTACGGGCCAAGCCCACCAGGGTAAGGCCCGACCTTCTGCTCCACCGACACCGACGACGCGTCGCATCGTATTCTCCAAGTTGGAGCAAAACGGTGACGTTTGGGGGTTGAGAAGGAAATGGAAGGGCTGTAGTAAAGAGATTGATAAGTCATTCTTCTCTTCTCTTCTCATACCAAATGCTCAACGGAGCTCTGAGGTTTAATAAAATCTTACGGTTGCAACAGTAGCCCTTGGTTTCTCCGTCGCGTTGGTGTGATTTTTGGAGATTGATTTATAATAATCCAAGTCGGTGAGAATGGTTGTAAAAACCCAAGAAAACACATTACAATTGATGAAATCTCCTACCTCCATAGACACCGCCAGGGAAAACAAGTCATTCATTATTCTTCCTTTTCTAAATTATATTTTACAGAATTGTTTCACATTATTAAACATTACAAAACAAGAAAAGAAAGAAAATTTTAAAAATTTATGTAAAAAAAAAAAATTCTTTGTTCTCTCTTTAATTCAAATTTTAATTGTATTTCTCTTTTCTCATCCAATTAAAGTGTGAAGTACTGTAATAATACTTGCAACAGGTACGGTGGTTTATAATGAGAGATTGAGAGTAAAAATTTCATGAAAATAAATAAAAGAAAAACCAAAATGCGTTTTCGAGTTTCTATTTCAAGAACTAATCATTAAAAAGCAATTTTTTAAATAATATAATAAAAATAAAAATACTAACATAAATTTTTAGTGCTAGATTTTGGAAAGAAATAATTTTTTTAGGAATAGCAATCCATCAAACTCTCTTTTTATTTACATTTTTTTATCAATAATATAAAAAATAGTATTATTTATTTAGATTTGCTTAAAGATTTTATAAAAAATAGTAAAATTAATATATCCTTGATATTATCACTTTCTTTAAAAGCGCATTAAAAAAGTTGACAAAAACAACAAATTTCTTTCATAATATCTTAAGATGATATTTTATAATATTATGCTAAAATCATATGAACTGAATACGAAGTATCACCATAGGAACCAGGCATACGCCAATTGAAAGAAAATTTTGTAGATTATGATAACGCTACAAGATTTACCCTAAAACCAAGCGCAATAAATTGATAAATAATGTCGTCATTGGACCACAGAATGAGTAAACCTAAACAGCCTTTTCAACAGCAATAACCCACTACGCAGGTCCACGTCTGACCAAAACATCTCGGAAGCGGAGAACTTTATAAATATCAGAAAACTATACAATGTAAAGAGCTTCAAAGGCGTTTGAAAATTTGAGCAAATAGAAAGCAGAATATCATTAGGCAGTCAGGTTCTGACATTGTAATTTGAATGGGATAATTTAGAATTCCATAAGAGAGGATACACAGCAGGATGATCAAAATTTTGTTGAGGAATGAACTAGTTACAACCTAAGGAACTCTAGATCATATGAACAATTGAGGACTAAGTTTTTCTTTTTCTTTGGGTTTCTATCTTTGGTATTGTAGATAGTATACAAAAAGAATGGGCATAATTACAAGTTCCAATCATCAGAGTCATGAATTGTATAAGCAACTTTCCACAGACACAGCGCTGATCATTAACACCAAAAAACTGCATGGGAATGGAAATATATCCTATCCTGCATTCTTCATAAAATCATATTCAACTCAGACAGATCATCCATTGGTATGTCTAAGCCCACTGCATCAGTATCTTGCAAGCCATCGTCTTCAATGTTCAACCAAGTGTCCAGATCTTGATGTCCATTAAGTTCATTAGCTACACCTAGTTCTATAGAGTCTAATACATGCAAGTTTGTGAAGTCCATAGGTACCTCAGTTACAATGGACAAATGATTATTATTATGGTCATGAGGTGCAGACCCAATTTTACTTTTTTTGTTGCTATCACTGGAAATAAATTCATTAGAGCCATAAGCCAATTGATGCTCAGAGTTAGTATCCTCCATTAATTTGCTAAGAGAGCCATTTCCAGAGCTAGATAGCTGAGCTGTCTTCGGTTTGGACTTTGCTTTTGTTCTACGCTCACCCCTCGAATAAATTGCAGAAGAACGACTTCCTTTTGTGACACAATTTCTTCCACAAGTGTCTTTGTCTCTCTCTCTTTCACTCCTCTTTCCCTTTGCTCCACCTATTAAAGGATTACCAAGAGTTGATGCAGATCTCCAAGAAGGACTAGCACCAACATCATCAAGCAGCAATTCCTTTTTCTTCCCTCTGTTTAGTATCAGTCCAGTCCTAGCAAAATCCTGGTCGGAGGGATGGTCTAGATTTCCCGACACATCCTGCTCCCTGCAGGGAAAATAACCTGCGAGAGCAAAGGCTCAATTTGTTACACAAGAAGAAAAAAAATTGAACCATCCACCCAATCAAATAGATTCTAGTAACCAGGAATAGAGACTTAACATAAATTAAGTAAAAAGCAATAGCCTAAGGAAATTGTTTCTTGACAAACAATATGCCTCAGCTCAATTTATCTGCATGTGTACCATAGCAAATACTTCCAAAACAATTAAAACATGGTTAAACAGGAAACCTGATGGTGCAGATTCTTGCCGAGAATTTTGAGGAAGTGATAGATTTGCAGCAACAACTGAACCAGCACAGTTGTCATGTGTAGGAGCAGCGAAAAGAACATCTTTAAAGACAGGCTCCAAAAAGCAACTTTTTCCTGTTTCCTCAAATTTCCTGCATCTAGCAAGAGTTCTCTTCATAAAAGCTAACGCAACTGGCCTTGAGATCTTGGAAAGTCCATGCCTTGCAGCACTACTTCCACGGGTGGCCTATCAAAATTATCAAGGGTCATGTCAAAGTGCAAATCAGCTGCCTTAACTCCATGACCAAAACAAAATCACAGCATAATCCTCAAAAGAAGATTCTGGAGCACCCGCAAGAGAAAGGGGGGGGGGGGGGAGCTAAACTTTTATAACACCAAATATGGCACATTTAGAGTACAAATAACAAGTTGCAAATAATAGTTCACCTTAATTGTCAGTTTCAACATCATCCATTCTACGACTTACCAATTCATTGAACCAAGCAACAAGAAATAAAGCACAGAAAAAGGAGAAAAAAAATTGCAATTACCAGCTTCTTCTTATAAGCTATCTCAACAAGTTTGTCTATAGCAACTTGCTCAAGGGCTCTGCAAATTAACATGGTATATATTAGAGTGAGGGTCAAAATATAGATACACAATATACGGATTACTTCCACGACAATTTATCAACATCGAAAGTATAAACAAATGAAACAAGATTTAGATAATATCAAATATTGTACCGTTGTTCCACTTCCCTGCCTTCTTCTACTGCTTGAATAAGTCTCATAAAATGTTCTCTCTTTTTAGTGACCTACAAAATTGGTCAAATGTAGAATAGGAACAGCTACCATGTAAATAAATAAATGACTAAAACAATAAGCAGATTCTTCTCCATAAGCAATTAACTGTCTTACACTTCAGCAAACATATCAAGCATAAAACAAAAGAATCAAAACCTGTTGGAAGAGTCCCTTCTCTAATTGAATAATATCTTGATTAATAGCTTCACAATCTCCATCAGCAAGATCAGGCTTTTATAAGACAACCATATGCGGATCAGTTAGCAATCAAAACATTGATTTCAAAAATAAACAAAATAATTCAAATTAAAAACTCAGTAAACTCCTTAAACATAATGCCCATCCACAAGCACATATAAAGATCATGTTTTGTGCCAAGGAGTCGAGCATCATTCATCCTAAAATTAAGTTAGGCTGAGGCATATGAATAGTAAATCTCTAACACTACTTATTGCACAATAGTTATTTTGCCCAAACCATCAACAATACATAGGCCAACTTTACAGAGGGTAAATTTTTGTTTATTTTGCTACACGGGAAGCAAACAATAAAACCATATGAATAGTTCATATCTCTAAATAATCAAATTTCATGGGTAGTGCGTGCAGCATGCATACATAGAATAGAAATGAAGAAAAAGAGGGAAAACAGTTGTTGAAACATACAGAAAACCTCACATATGAATAAACTATGATGACTATTGGCTATCTAAAGTTTCAAAAAATTAGAAGGTTACCACTGGTTCTGGATATAGGCCAACACTCTGTAGCTCCAGTAAGAGTCTATCATCCATACTCATTTGTTCAAAAGGGCGACTGAAAGATGATGAACAAGAAATTTTATGCATACCCATTAACTCATCATTACCATTTTCAGATAACACAGAGAACCTTTTAGATTCTGGATGCAATGGTCCCTGATCCACTTGCAAAAACACACCAGGTTCTTGATCATGGAAGTCTGTGCAAGTAGTAAAGGTAGCATTCCCATTACAAGAAACCTTGTCAGAGTTGATTTGGTTGTTAGTACTGATGCTGGATTGATTTTCAACATCCTGAGAGAAGCAAACCACCTGAGGAGAATCATCTCTTTCGCACAGAAAAGACATATTTCCATCTCCAACAGTTTCTTCATCAGTTTGATCATCAATGATCAGAGCTGTCAATACTCTTTGGTACAATGGTGCAACTCTTTTTCCCTCTGAATCCATTTGTCTGTACAAAATACTAACATCCAGATGTTGATCAACCATGTCAACCACTGAGGATATCTCTTTTAAATCAGTTTGATTTACAAAGCTTCTCCCTCTTTCTCTAGAGAGAGGACTTTGTGACACAGGGCTGTCAGTATGTGTAAGTTCATCCTGAGAATATAAATGGAAGACGTATTAAAAAAGCGGATTAGTAATGCTTCAGTTCATGTCTCATATTTTGAATCTTAAGTTATGCTCCACAGTTTTTTGAGGTAGAATAACGACTTTAATCATCATATGCAATACATTAAATAACAAATGGACCAGAACCTCAAAGTTGGAGAGAGATGTCATCAAACATGTTTTAGAAAAGGTAATAATACAATGAGCGACATGTTATTGGCTCATCTCAATTATAGAAAAGAATGAAATTAGATATAGAAAGAGAAATTTCAGCAATCAAATTATGGAAGAGATGGTACCATGTCAATGCAATGAGATGCACCTTAGAGACTAAAATATATGATCCAAGAGAATGGAAGAATATTCTGAAAGAAAGAAGCATAAAAATTAGATAATCCTAATATGAAAGGAATCTAAGTTTCTATTTCTTTTTTCTCACCCGAACCTTCTGAATTGATATTTAGATTCACTTGTTGGTGGTTCATGTAATCAACAAAACAAATGTACTCCAGCTAGATGGAAAATCAAATCCAGATGGCATGGGAATCAAAAGGAATAAATATGCTGACTAAAATAGTCCTTAAAAATCATTCCTAGTTTAATGTCACCAGGTACAAGGTATCAAATGAGTAAAATATTGCAAATATAATATATTAGCTTATACATTACCAGGGCATCACTTCCAAGGCCACCCATTTGAGACAAACATCTTAGATCAACATCTGTTGTTTTAACCTGATGCAAAGACATAAAGGAGGGGAAGCAATGTTTTCATTAAGGGACAGTTGAATTTCATAAAAATATATACAGTCAAAGCACCCACCAGCTGCTTCAAGCAGGATATGTCTTCCAAGCTGACAGGAGCAAAAATAGGTTCCAGTTTCTTCCAAAATGAACTAGAAGAACCAATATCTGCCAAGGCCCAAAGTAACATATAAATGGAAATATTTTACATATATATGCATACAGACCAATAGTGGCAAGTATACAACTGCAAAAGCACAAACCAGTTGAGTTTAGTTACATACAGCTGGCATTGCTAGCAAAGTTAGCAGCAGCTAACAGTTCCTCATGGTCATCATCTGGCTCCCCTGGCATCAGATGGTTTAGTACATCATACAAAAATTTCAAATTGAATATGAACAGGCAATACATGACCATATAAACCTTGTACACACAATTTTCGAGAAAATATCAACAAGAAACTAGATAAATAACAAACTGCCTTCAAAACGTAAGAATATAAAAGAAAACGCATGGTACAGAAGAAGTTAGAATTTAAAATATGATCAGGGTTTTCATCTGAAAGAATTACAGGAAAAACGGGGATATAAACATTATTAAGGTTTATAATACTTTATACAGATAGAAATAAACAGACACACAAATAAAAACTTACCATATTATGAATATAATATTTTAAACAATTTCATTTTGCTTAATGCAATAAGTAGTTGCTCAAACATATAGATATACCTGCAATATCTGCAGAATTGTTAGTAGATGGATGCCCAAGACGAGCAACAGCTTTCCTATCACATGATTTCTTCAAAGGAGGACGCCCTGATTTACTGAAACAAACACAAAATTCTTTTATAAAAAAAAATGGCCACTAATTTCTTTATTGCTGTGGGAAGGTGCCCCTTTCCTTTCCATTACAGGAAGAGAGAGAGAGAAGTATACCTTCCATTCTTTTCAGAAGCAGGCTTCATATTTTTAACTGGCTTTATTAAGGTCTTCTCTTTCACTGGTGAGATGCCATTCTTCAAACCTGAAGTGGCCCTACTACCCCTTCCCTGTCTACGCAGACCATCACCAGTCTCTTCCTTGTTGGGTATTTTTTTCTTTTTTGTTGCTAATATGGAGGAACTTATATTATAAGAATAAGAATTATTAATGGTTCTTTCATCAGCTTCATTACTTTCCAATCCTTTCTCCTTTAATTTACTGTCACCATTTTCTCCTGCACCAGATTCTTCACTTTCAGATAATCTGGTTGGGGATGAAACATTTTCACGTTTCATTTTACCTGGTTGAATACCACTGTTGATAGCACCATTGGAAATAAGTGATCCACTGGTTATAGTAGAAGTCAATCTGGTACCAACTTCAGAAGGGGAACATCCTTCTAATGACATATGCACTTCATCGCAACTCAAGACAGGGGAAACCACATTTGCTCTGCGAGTGCGAGAAATTTTTTGGGGTCTCTGTCCAACCCATTGGGCCATATGGGATGCAGATGATCCTACAGGAAAGGAACGCTTACGATTGATAGCCCCACTTACTGAATGAGACTTGTTCACATTTGAAGGTTGTTCCTCAGGTTCAAGTATTTCAGAAGAACGAGAAACAGAAGATAAGTACCCAGCTATCAAAGCACCTGTTCGAGGTGCCCTTGAAGTTTTTCCTTTCGTCAAAGTATGAACACCGCCTGTATAATTATTGTCACGAACATTAAACCTAAAAAAAAGAGGAAAAAAATGTGATTAGTTGTAAAGTTGTTAAAACTTCTTATAGCAAAGGACTATAGATGCATCATGGATATGAAAGAGCAGATACATACTTGTTTCCTTTAAGTAAAACCCGTTCCTTATTTGATCCATCCATAGAATCCCTTGACACCTTTTCTTGCTCAATCTTGGCAGTTGCACATGCATTGGAAGTAGCAGGTAGGGGAGCAACATCAAGCTTGCTATTACTACCAGAATTTCCTGATCTGCAAGAAATAGAATGTTGCAAGAAGTTTATTCTTTGCGTTTGTTGAGAGTAAATTGAATGAGAAAATGAGGAAAAAAAACAGCAAGAGAATTGAAGAGAGAATCTCAAATGATCTGTGATTTTCATTAACTAAATGAACTCTAAATAGAGTTCTATATTTATACATTTGGTTGATGCCAAGTCCTGCGTAACAGACTACTGTGACTGTGATTCTATTGTAGCAAAATCTGGTTACAGTAGTAACAGACTAACATAACAGAATGAACTGTAACTGAAACTAAACCAATTACTAGTTGCTCTGTCCATGATACTCTCTGACACTGTTAATCCAAAAGTACATTTTTAAGATTATAACAACCTTATTTAGCATAATCTCTTTCTCACCAGTAATTCATAAAAGTAAAAGAACAACAAAATCATGAAATAAGGTCACAAGGATCAACTTGGCCATGAATGTCATTTCAGATTTGATTCCATAATTAAAAATTAAGCTCATTCAATTTAGAAGAAGGTAAACTTAGTACTTTAAGTGAAAATTGACCGGATATAGTATAAAAGATAAAGTTAACAAGTGTGAATGTGCTGTCAAATACTCACATCAGTAACTGAAATGAGATGTCATGTCAGCCAAAAATCTATTCATTACATGACCCATTCACTAGGATATTTGGGTATTGGACTGACACAGTCACACAGGTACTTGAAGTAATGAACTTGCAGCTTTGAACATTTAAATCTTACAGTTGGCATGGAAGAGTCGGACCTTTTCCCCAATGTTAGAAAGACATTAGAGGAAGGTAATGTAAGCGGATACAGAGCCATTAATTGACACATGCATATAGTTACACAATTATAGTCAGCAAGAAATGGCGAATAACATCTACAGTTTGATATGAAAGAAAGAATTATTTTTTGAGGCAAATATTTTAGGATCTACTAAGTTTTTATCTACAGACTGCAAGGCTGTTTAAAGGTCTGACTCTTAGCACCTAAAAAAGGCAAAAATTAGAACACTGAATCTGGTGAATAAGGGGAAATATATACTAGTTGAGAGAGATCCCACAGTAAACAGCTCAGGGAAATTTTGTAGGAATAGAAATTAGCAGCAGAATGTTCAAAGGTTTCAAATAAGAGAATGCAAGACGATGAGAGCATGACCAATAATGACTTGGCTGGAAGTAACAAGTAAAAATATGGGGAATTGACTCCTATGAACTAATGTACTCTTTTTCCTATATTTTTGTCCTGGTTACATGAGCAAGATTTTTATCCTCCTCATTCATACTTATTTTGTATGTTAATTTTTAAAAAAATAGCCATAGAAGATTGGAGAAAAGAAAGACATTCAGGAAGATACAATGACTAAGAAATAGACATAAATATACCCCCATGTTTTGACTTAATCTAATTTTGCCAACTCCCAGTATATGGGATCAAGCCACCATAGGTCAATCTTTCAGAATGGTTATATGCCTAAGATCAACTATGAGATCAGAGGGGATGACACTAGGAAAATTAGAAGCTATGCACCAAGATTTGCAAAATTAGTAAGGATGATGTGCGGAAGTTTCACACCTTCTTGAAGAAAAGAAAACATAAATGATTTACAATACATCTAGATCCAAAGGAATTTCTGGATTTTAAATATCACCACCTTAAGTGCAGAATCAGACTCAGCAGAGCCCTAGTGGAATTGCCCTTTGAGCTAGTGTCTAACCACATAGCATGATATGGTCTCTCCTGACGCTCACAAGTTCCAACTTTAATAACAAACATGATGGCTGTCATTTATCTGCTCTAGCTCGTTGGGTAACATTGAAATAGTATCATTTGTTTGTATTTATTATCATTTGTACCATAAACTTGCACTACAGGTAGCAGATAGCCTCCAGTTACAATAAAATAACACTCACATGCTATACACTTGAGTAATAGTATTCAAAGAAATAAGAGTTCTCTCTCTAGATCCTTTCTCTTTCTACACAGCCCATGTCCTGAAAATTGAAACATCCAATTATTCGTTCCCAAACAAGAAGCAGCAACCACAAAATAGATTGCAAGCCATTTCCCAGATGATAAAAGCCATAAAATGTATTAGAAAATGCTACATATTACTAAATACCAGTCTACTATCATTAAATGCCCCTTAGTAATATCATATCCAGAACTCAGCCCGTATCAAATATTAGCCATCTTGATAACTGTTTAACCTTCTACAAAAAGGATATTTTTATGAAAGAAGTTATAAATTAAACAAAAAATATTCCTAAATTCAATATAATAAATTGATTTGATAATTGATATGCATTAAAATGTTCCATAACTCATTTTTACAGATGGTCAGATTACTTCGCAGACCTCTGGAATCATCCCAATTTCGTGACACAATAAGAATTCAGAAATCAAAGCATTTCAAAAATTTGCATTACCTCAAACCTTGGGCATCAGAAGAATGCAGACCTGGCTCATTAGCTAGCTTTAGATGCATAACTTTTTTCAGCTCTCCTTCACCATCAATGGATCTGGCAAAAACTGTGCCCATGGAACGTTTTCTTTTCATTTTTCTATCCCATGTCTCTCCACCTGCGGGTAATCTTCGAATCTTCTCCTCAACAATATCACAACCTTTACTACCATCCTTGATGTTGTCTCTATCCTTTCCATTGGCCAAAGGCTGCCTCACAAGGCTATTACTTAGTCCTTCAGCCTAGCATTTTTCAAGAAAACATATAGCATAGTCAGATTAAAAGAGTATGATAAGGCAGAAGAATATGTAGCTATTAGGATTTAGGTTAAAAGAGTCTCATATCATAGTCAGTATCCAAGACATGAAAACCAAAACAACAATTAGTTACCAATGGTTCTTTACATAAGGGCGAGACTTCAATGAGTAACACAAGCAACGCAAAATATTTTTGCCCAAGTTCCTTCAGATATTTACAAAAAATATATTGACAGAAGAAGTAGAATTAAAAATAGGAGTATGTCCGTTAGTATTTCTTCAAACAGATAATCTATTGCTTCTTGATTGTAAAATCCTTCCATTTATGTTCTTTACAGCCTTGATACACATACAAATTTCAATACTTGCTGTTGGTCAGTCTCTTAGCCTCTTCCAGGGGCATGATTCCCTTTATCTCGGTTCCTCCTTTGATGGTGTTTTCCTTCCTAAATAGTGATTATTGAAATTATGAAAGGTATCTAACTTGGCCCATCCTCAACCAGAACAACCATGTTAAAATTCAGCCATGTATATCCTTATTAAAATGGCAGAAAAGGTTGCAATATTAAATATTCCAGCCTTCCACTCAGGTCAAATGCCATGGGATTCTGTCTTCTAAATCTTAAGAGAAGCACATGCAACAAAAAAGCATATATAGTTGTACCAGAATCACGAGAAGATTATCACATTGCTACATCATACCCAAATTTGATTCCAATGCACTAGAACAATTTTATTTTACTATTTAATACAATGGGGATTCTATTTTTCTAAGGTTTACAATTAAACAATGCAATAATAACTAATTGGCATATCATAGAACCACAGTGTTGCTACAGGAAATGCAACAATTAATTAAAAGCACTGGCTACAAACCCTTGTCTCAGCAACTGATGTACGTATGCGCTTATTCAGAATGTAGTTCTTAGGTCTGTCCTCTAGTCTTTGATTCACAATGTCTGATGGGCTACGATGAGTCTGAGTTCCCATCTTCGAGAAGTGTGGTCCACCCAGCCTTTCATTTGGCAACAACTCGTTCCGAAGTTGCTTCTTTGAGGTCACAGCCTCCCAACACTTGTTCAATTTGTGTAAAGATTCATCCAACTTTTTTGATCTATATCTGAGAGGAATCTTAAAATTTCAGAACAGAATGACTACTCAAGTGACAATAAAAAAAAAGAGTTCAGAATCTCAGATCATCAGTTTTGAAACAGCTCTGGACAATTTTAATCAAAATAAACAATTAAAATGATAACCGCTCAGTTATGTATGCTGCAAATGCAAGCTCTCTTTTACATAATTGATTGAAAATTAGATTGGTATGATTTGAGGAAAGAATTAATGGCATTGTATAAAGTTCCTCTAACTACCTAGCCCTGACAGAAGCCTCTTGTATACTTGCTTTGAATCGTTTCAATTCCTCCGTAGCCACTGGAGGGAGAGACTTCAGATTAGCAGTTCCAAAAGCACAATCTTCAACAGAATTTCCAAAAGATATCCCCAGTACTCGTCTTAACTCACCTGACCTAGTATATTTTTGATCTCCCACAGTTATTGGATCTAACATTAAACACTGAGAAACTGAATCCAAATCCCCTGCCAATGCAGAGTTCCCCCGTGACATATTAGCACCAGAAGTAAACACCTGCCCCTCACTACCCTCACAAAAGCCTGCAGAACTCTCCAAAGCGTCGTTTATCAAATTCCCTCTCTGCCCATTTGTAAAGCTCCCCTTGAAAGCCAATTCCTCTGGGTTAGCTGAGCTTAAATCAAATCTAGTGTTTCCCGCCATAAGTCAGTGTTAACTAAACCAACACATATATCGAGTATCTTCCACCATATTTTCTCTTAGCAACTCATACAGTAAGGGATCTCGTGAGGGCAAGCCACTAAACCATAAACAAGTATGAGTTGTCAGATACTTGAAATGTATCTGCAATAAGCCAATAGCCATGAACTATAATCAATACACAACTTTATACAATTTCAACCCGCATGGAAAGATGACTGACAGCATGCAGAGTACACCTCAAAAAAGTGACTAAACGGTTAATGTTATAAGTTACCCAGATGCTTAAAAAAGTCGACCCTAGCAGAAACCCAAACCAGTTAAACATACAAAAGAAACCACGTCACTGTACAAAAGCAGAAAACCATAAAATATAAGTGGCTTTAAGATATAATAAGAATGGGATAAAAATAAAGCTTACTTGCTTATATAATATATAATACTGCTATGTAATTATAGATAAACTAAAATTTCAGTAAACGAGTGCTAGCGTGGTTCCTCGGCACATAAATGTTAGTAGAAGTGGAAGTGCATCACTGAATAAAACGCACATTGCTGATTGATAGTGAAGCAAGAACTGTGAAATAACGAAGCAGAAGACAATGGGACTCAGCTGAAAGAACGCGCGAGTAGAAGGTTTCGAAATTTAAAATTGTCACCCGAAAATAAAATAGAAAATCAAACGAATCAAGCGAGCAAAGAGTATTCGCAACCTCAGAATCGAAATAAAAAAATCTAGGGTTCGACGAAATGCAAAATCCCCTGACGAGCGGCGAAGCTGAGAAAGAATTGAAAGAGGGGAGAATGTGGAGAGAATGGGAGAGGGAGGAGAGAGTACCTGCATTGACCAGAGGATTGAGCAGAAGATCCAATTGTAGAGAGAGAAAGGAGATGAATGAAGGATTTATGGAATTGGGGGCAAAGCAGGCGTGGAGGAGAGAGAGGGGGTCCCGCAAGATTTATCAAATCAGAGCCCTTTATCCGATTTCGGAAACGTGGTCACCGTCAACTCCAGGGTTGACAATCCTCTATCTCACAAAATTCCTTATGTTGGTTAAATATTTATATGTACATTATTCAATTTTATTTAGGGAAGAAGAAGATAGAATATAATAAAAGTTGTCTTGCTTTTATTTTTAGGGTTTATTGAAATAATAAAATATGATAATTTGTATTAACATGGTATTTTATTACGATAAAAATTCTCATTTAAAAAGAGGAGTAGAGGTTAAAAATTAATAAGATAAAATAACTTTTTTTGTCATATATACTTTATAATTCTATGATGTATTTATAAAGACATTAAATATAATTTTAATTTTTTTACAAAAATTTATATAGATGTTTTTAATAGCAAAAATATAATTTTGAAATTACCTTACAAGTTTAATACATGTATTTTGGAATCAGAACATCAAGATGCAATACCTGGAGGCAAGGATGCCCAAACTATAAGAGATGCTCGAAAGGGACCACGCACTGCCAATTTGAAATAGCACACGTTTGAATTTAATTGTCGTTGTTTGATTTTGATTAAGTTTTTTGTTTTCTTTATTTCTTTAAAAAAATATTTTTATAAGTAATATAATTTATGGATTATAAAATAAATGATAACAGTAAAATATATATATATATAAGTTACCTTTCAACATTTTGTTTGTTTAAGTAATGTTTTTTTCTTCTTGTAATAAGTGTTTTTTTCATAATTAATATTAAAATGATATTTACTATTTTATCAAGTATATTTCTTCTTGTAATAAGTGTTTTTTTCATAATTAATATTAAAATGATATTTACTATTTTATCAAGTATGTATATATATATATATATATGATAAATCATCAAACACATGATCAATTAATTGTATAGTTTGAAATTAACTAATGATCTTAATTTTTAGTTAAAGTAAATACAGTTACGTCAAGTATTTAATTACAGAGTTTTGTTTTAAATATTAGTTTTATTTGACTCAACTAATATTGTTTTTAATAAAACATACATGTAGTCTAAAAAAGCAAACATATAATAAAAAATTATATCTACATTAACTAGAATGCAAGTAACAAATATTAGTATGTGTATACTTAACGAGTAAGGGTATATATTGAATTTGTCGTGCATGTGTATATCTATTCATGTTTTTTCTAATACGAAAATAAGCATGGAGAGTGTATTGTTATTCCTAACATAAACTGTAAATTAAAAATTAACAATAAATGATTTGTACAAAAGATTCTTTAAGGCTGAATAAACATAATAATCAGTTAATATTTTATGCAAAAAAAATTCTCCAACAATTTATTTAGATGGAGAGAAAAAACAAATAACAAAAATCAGAGGAATAATAAAAAAATAGGATATAAAATTGTGCTATTTAACTGAATAAGAATAAAAACTGCAAAAAAATAAAATAAAATTGCGCAATAGACAAATGATAGAAGTAAGTGAAAAAAATACATTATAAGTTTTGTATACTAATTAAAAAAACACAGATTTCACTGAATTATATAAACATTTTATTACAATGTATTATGTTTTTATAATTTTTTTATTTTTAAATAGAAATGTTTGTCCAATTAAGAAAATATTTAAAAAAACAATAAATTTCATTTTTTTTACCGATTATTACATTGTTTTCATTCTATTTTTTGTATTCAACAAGAAATAAAATATATTTTTTGTAATTTATAAATTAAATATATATACACATATTTTTTTAAATAACGAAACCAAATTGTTTCTAACTTTTTTTACTATGTTATTTACTTCATGCTAATTTTGAGAGAAGTCATTATTTTAGTTTATACCATGTGTAATTTTGAAAAAACAATATTTTTCAAGTCATAGTCATGTAAGATTACATTGACTTAAACTTGAAACCATTAAGTTCAAATAATTATCTATAAGTTAATATACATGTTTGGTGGTAGAAATTGTCTTTAAATTCAAATATTTTATTATTTAAAAATAATAATAATAATTCAATATTTTGATAACATTTTTATCTTTCCATTTATTTTCTAAATACATAGTATAACAATAAACATATTTATAGTTTCCTTTGAACTTCAATAATACGTATTGGACTTCTTTATTGCATTTTCCTCTTATCACTAAGCATGTAATGTTATTAAATATAGCTGTCGTGTTTTAATTGTTTTGAAGTCAAATAAATTTGTACTTTTTTAAGCATTATTAAATTTAATTTAAACACCTCTAAAATTAAATTTTTGTTAAAATAATAACTATTATTATTTCACGACCATAAAACCATGTCAGGTTAAATATCAAGACCATTTATATTAACACTAACGTGGTAAAAGCAATATAAAAAAAAAAAGTATATAATGCATATGACTGTTAGGTTGATTAGCTTGGTATTACATGATTTTTTATTTTATCCCAAGTTAAAGTTTGCATAAAAATTTGAATTTAAAGGGTTGAAAATTGATATATTAAAAATTGCTTTAAAGTGTTAATTTTGTTATAATATTAACTCAATACTAATAAAATAGGAATAGAATTGTATTTTTGATACATTCTTTCAAGTTGCATTTTATACAATCAATTGGATCATATAGATGTTTTTTTACCACAACATAAATTATTAAAAGGATCTAAAAAACTCACAAACACTCAGATTTTTATAAAAAAAATTGTCATTCAAATGCTCTCACATTAACGTGTCAATTTGGAATCTAATTCAGAATTTTTTTACCATGTATTATAAAATTTTTTGTATTACATAATTTTTTAAATTCAATCTTAATTTAAAAAATGATTTTTAATATATAAAAAATAAATTTTTAATATAATCTTGTTGAATATAATAAAATGTTAATCATTTATTAAATTTTATAAAAAAATGATATACACAGAGGCAACTTTTTTAATATAGCTTTTATTTTTAAAATTTAAAAAATATAGAATTTTTTGTAAAATTATAAAAATACGGAATTTAAAAATCGCCATGGGTAATTTTTTATGTAGTACAAAAATTCAAAGATAAAAAAGCAAAAAATAATAAAGTTTCAAAAGTTGTTAATAGCAATTTTTAAAAATAATAATAATCAAAAGTCTCCAATGATAATCTTTAAAAAATAAATAAATATTTAAAAATATAATTTTTGTCAAAACTCAATAATAATTTAAAAAATAATATTTTTATAATTTTACAAAAAATTTCATATTTTTTGAATTTAAAAAAAACCATATATAAAAAAATGTTCCAATACACAAACTAGTAGACTGTATAATAAACAAATATTGAGAAGTTAACTTTAAAAAAGTAAAAATTGGTGACGTTTGTGAAGGAATAATAATATGATAACGTACGTTGGATCCAACGTGCCTGTCTCATCGGTCCCTCTCGAACTGAGTAGCACGCACCTACGCACACTCAATTCATTGTCTTCAGTAGTCAGAAGCAATAAACAAACAAATTGTGATTAATGAGAGAAATCGCTTTGTTTGTTTCAGTTACACTACACAACAATTTCATTTTATAATACCTCTCACTAACTCCCATTCATCACCATGGCTTTCACCAACGTTTTCATCGCTCCTTCCTTCACAATCCACGCTGGTAGGGTTTCCGATCTGCGCTCCATTCCTCTGTTCTCTCCTCCCTCTCACACCTTCTTCCGCTCCCGAACCTTCGTCTCCAAGGACAAGTGAGAAATCGTCTTCGCCGCACTTTCCTTTTTCTTTTTCTTTATTATTATTTTATTTTTATCTCAGAGCTATTTCTTGGAGCTCATTACAGCGATCTTTTCTTTTATTGCTTTGTAATCGAGTGTTACTGTTTGTCTTCAAAGAAATTAGTAGAAAACAATATATCTATATATATATATTAATTTTTTTCCCTTTAAATTTAATAGTATTTTTTTCATTTGAACTTCGTAAAATTTTATTGAAGTTAACTCTCGGAGGAACAACAATTTGAGGTAAATGGATTCTTATGGAACCAGTATTTAGGTGTGAGCTTTTGCTGTTAGATTCAAGAACTCCTGTGCCTGTTTCTGGATGTTTTAGTTTACCTTACTTTTGTAGTGTATAAAAGCAATTCAAGTGTTTCGAGGGAGCAAATGTATAAGTTTATTTCAAAAGTGTCTGGTTAATGAGTAAAAGTTGCATGGTTTCATCATTCATGCACATCTGACATCGGTCTATTTTTCTGTTTGCTTTCTGATGTGCATGTCAACTTCTTCTACCCACCTTTTCAATGCCCCCTTTTTCATATTTATATGCAGCTTTCAAATTATGTTTGATACATTTGTATTATTCGAGTGAGTCAAAGCTATTAATTGTGCTCCTTACCTGGGATGGAAGGAGGAGGAGGCAGGGGCCTTGGTCCCCCAAGCCACTATGAATGTGTGTGTATTTTAAATGTATATATTTGTGATATTGCCCTTGCTAGTTCAATGGTACTTGTAAACCAAAAGGTCAGGTACCAATTAATATGTAGGGGAATCTTTCTCATATTAATGTACCTATCTAATAGTACCAATGTTTAGCTGGGAATTACCTATTTCTCTCCTGCTTTGAAAATCTTTAGGCTCGAAACTTCCATTTAGCACACCCCACTACGGATAGATAAACCTTTTGGTTTTCAGATGCTTATTCAGTTTTTGTTATCATTTTTACTTCTTATGCATCCTTTGTACCTTGAAATCTTTTATCCTCTTGCTGCTTTCGGGTCTGTACTCTGTACGGTATGTTTGGCAATGCAGGTTTGTGGACTCATTCAAAGTTCGTACAATGGTTCATCCACTGTTATTGAGGGGATTTATGTTCTAGTTGTTTGTGAACACAACTGGAACTTTAATACTCTTTCTTAGAGTCACCATGATGTATCTATATCATTTGTGTCTTACTACTGGATGAAATATTGTGCAGGAATATTCTATATGCCTCTGCTTATGATTTGAATGCAGTTGGTTCAGCTTCGCTGGTCAGTGATGTGTTTCTTGCTGCCATATCATCCATGATACATTTTTTTTTTTTTCATTTTGAAGTTGTAAATTAGGAGTGATATACATTGATTTATTATGTGGGATTTAGAATCTCTGTTATTATCCATAAATTGCAAAATTTTGATCCATGAGGGACTGAATTGCAATAAAAAAAAGATTTTTGAGGGCCTAAATTGAAGGCTAAAAAATTATTTTGGGACTAAATAAGGTTATTTTTTATGATCATGATTTTATAGTACATAATGGTTTCTATTTCTTGATCTTTCTGACTTTTTCTTGCCATCAATTTTGCCTCTTACCTTTTTTTATGTCATTTTTTTCTTTGCTAGAAGCTGAAAGGGGCTGCCTAATATATGTTGATGAACCATGAATTAAGTCCTATAATTTCCTTTCCTTCTCCATTTCATTTTCTCTTGTTACTGAACTTCTTAACTTTTTGAAATTTAAGTCTGATACTTATAAACATAGAAAATAGTTTTATAGCATCTTTTATATGGTTTTGAGGCAGTCAGCTATATCTGATGAAGGGTTTTGCTTGAACCCCAGAGGATCTTCATCTAGACAACACAGCTTACCTATTATAATGTTATCAGACTGCTGCATGAAGATCTTTCTTGTATTCTTCCAGCTTTCAATCCTTCAGTCAATTGACATTTTGTCAGCTATAATCTATGATGATTATGTTTGTCTCAAACATTTTATGTTTTTGAGTGATATGCAGACCTGCAGCATTTCTTTTCTTTTATTCTTTTGGGAACATTCTGTCAATGTGGATTATTAATATTTTCTGGACTAGATGTCCTACTGCACTACACTACAACTTATACTATTACATCTGAAACTCCGATGTATTTTACAAGTCAGTTTTGTATTATATTCACCCTGTGTGTATGTGTGAGTTCATGCTAGTCTAAGATAGTCGGTGGCTGCTACAATTGACGATTTTGTTGCCAATAACCTGAGCTTTTGTTAATTATTGCTTTCATGTTCCTTCAGATTTTGTAGGCCATGCTTTTATATACTTTTGTGACCTTTGATTGGTTAATTCTTACTGCAGAAATCCAGTGAAAATACTGATAGTGTTCCTATGCCAATAGTTCTGATTGATCAAGACTCAGATTCTGAGGCAACAATTGTGCAGCTTAGCTTTGGAGATCGCCTTGGAGCACTTCTTGACACGGTGATCTTGCTATTGGAAACTTAATTATGCAATCTTTGAAAGTTTTGAACCTAGTTAGATCTCTTTTATGGGACATCCTTTAAATGTGATTTTGTTATTTCAGTGATGCCCTCGCTACATGATAGTTACAGGAGGTTTATTCAATTTATGAAGGTCCTAAAGTTTCCTCATTGTACACCCTTGTTTATGTAAAAACGTGCACATCTGATAAAGCAGATCTAAATTTATGATAAATTTATGTTGTCCAGAAGTGGCTTTCTTTGCTTTTTTCTTATCCTCATCATCATTATGTCATGGCTCCCTTGGTGAACAAGCCAATTTATTCTGATTGTTATAAAATTCACCCAAAAACTACAGACTTGTCCATTATAGTTTACTTTTTAAAGAAAGAAAAAAAATGTAATCATTATAAATGTTGGAATGTTGACAATAAACAACTTGATTGAGATTATGTTGGAAAAGAGCATGTTCAGGTTGCAGATCACTGTTCTCTTGCCATGTTTGAAAAGGGCATCAATTATATAAAATTCTGCTATATTTTTAACCTCATTTTCTCTGTCGACATAATTTATAAGTATTCTCAATAATTAACATTTGTTTGTTCATATCAAGGCAGATGAAAGCATTAAAAGATTTGGGATTGGATGTTTCTAAGGGAACTGTCTCCACAGAGGGAGCAGTAAAGCAAACAAAAATTTTCATTACAGAATCGTAAGTCTTTTTTGTCCTTTTCCACTAGTTTCTTTGCACTGTTTTCTCTTGAATGACGTTTTCAGCAGCAAATGGATAAGAACATGGGAGGAATTGTTCTTCTCAAACTGAGAAATGTTCTTTTCCTTTGATAAATTACAATATCAGTCAGCTTTTTTCTTCTTTACAGAGATGTGTCAGGAGGATTGTTCTGTAAGTCACACAATGATCACCCCATGTTCTTATCTGTACTTAGGATACTTGAGAAGAACAATCTCAGGTCTAGTCCTTAGGCATCCTGTCATTGGAAAGATTTCCTATTTAGACATTTGGAAATGTGCTTTCTTTTCTTTAGGTGCTCATATATCCCTAACTCCATCATCAGTACCTTGTATTATATCTCTCTCTTTCTCTTCTGTATTTTGGTGGCTGTTGCTCAAAGAATTGAGAAGGTTATGAGGGGTTTTCTTCGCTTTGGGGCTAATGGAATTACTAGAATCACCTTGTTAGTCGTGAAATTTGTTGTAGAACTTGAAAGGAATGAGTTTAGTTCTTGGAAAATTGGTTTCCCAAAACATTTCATAGTGGCGCACTAATTGGCTTTGGCTTTTGACCCCACTGACAACTTTATGCATCCGGTTATCCAAAGTAAATATGGCATCAACTTCTTTGGACTAACTTGTTTGGTATTTTTGGTTGCTCCAAGGATCTTCAGTAGTTTGTGTGTTAATTTCGCTAGCAGAGCCAAAAAGCTATGAGTTGTTCTCAGTTTGCCATTCTTTGGTGTCATTGGCTGGAAAGAAATACTAGAATATTTAATAGATGACAGTCTTCTAATGAGTTTATTTGAGATCAGTTAGTTTTTATAGCTTCTTTGTGGTGTTCTACTCATAGTTTTAGGTGTCTTTGTTAGATCTACAGAGATATTGGCAAGCTGTGTTGCATGTTTCTTCTTGTTAGTTTGCTTTTATTTTCAGTCATTACTTCTTTAGTTCATAAGAACTTCTTAATCTCTTGCATTTTAACCTTTCTTTTCCATCTTAATAATTACTTTGTTTATAGAGCATCCTGAACATGTGAAGAAATAACAATCTTGCTGATCATTGATTGTTTATTTTGTTATCATTACTTCATTCATAAATTTTAGTTTTTACAGATTTATTTGATTACCATATTGTCACAGAGACACAGGGCGCAAAGTTGAAGATCCTGATATGTTAGAGAGAATTCGACTTACCATTATTAACAATTTGTTGAAATACCATCCTGTAAGTTTTTTTGATAGATACTTTCCTCAGAATTTCTGATGTGGTTACTTTATATATAAGAAGCTTCCTTGCAATTAGCAATTTCTAACAAACACAATTTTTCCTTGTTACTTTTTATCAATATACTTTTTTGGCTTGATCTTAATTTTCAGTTTTCCTTGTCACAAATATTATATAATTTGTGTAGGAGTCCAGTGAACGACTAGCGATGGGTGAAGTGTTTGGCATAAAAGCTCCAGAGAAGAAGGTGAATTGTACTCTTCCAGTTCTTCTTTCATATTTTAGTTTGCTATATAGATTACGCATTAATTTTCTCAGGAGACCTCTGCTTTGACTTTTTCCCCCTTTACCCTTCAGGTTGCAAATGTTTATAAAACATTTCCCAATTTATTTGGTAGTCCAAAGTTTTGTGTGCCGGGGTGAAGTTTTAGGCCTCAAAAAACTCTGACATTATATTTGATTTATTCATATATCCTTGTTGGCTTTTATTTTCCCAGTCTCTGGTTTTGCCAATCTTGTGTTAACAACATTTCTTCTATAAAATAATTAGAATGTTGTCGTTGGTTTATTTTCAGCTAGCGGACAATTTTTTCACTATTCCTTATTTAATTATCTGGTGATTTTTGTAGTTATATTAAAACTTTTGGGAGCTGCATCCTGATTTTGATAATCTATAAATTGAACCTTATACATGAACGGACACCAATTATGCTTTTACTCCTGTATATGCATGCCTCTTTCTGTTTGAAGAATTGAGAATGACAGTGTTGGGAAAAAAAAGAGGTTTCTTGCAATCTCGTCATAGAGATTACCTAATGATGGTTTGGACTTGTGTCTCTATGTTGATTTTTTGTGCATAAATTTTATCATGCTCTATATATGGATTGGACTTGTACTAAAAGATGCCTGGTTCTTTTAATTTAGAAATATGGATTTTGTTAATGTTTGAAGGGATTAAAATAGCATTGATTAGTCAAGTTTTTATTAATTATTTAATAAATCAAATATTCAATGCTTTTTGGATTTTCAAAATATTAAATGCTTGTACTTTTTTTTCATTACTTTCTATTGTTATTCCCTAACATGTGTCCTAACTCCAAAGGCTAAGGGCATACATTAACCGAACCCTAGAAAAAGCTACCAGATTTTGCATGTTGCAATTACTAAATCCAATGGAATGATTTTTATGGATCCAATGCTTAGTCTTAGTCCTGCGAAAATCAACTTTATTGTTGATGTTTTGTGCAGCTTGATGCTGATATTGCAACTCATATACAAGTTAAGGAAGATGGGCCCAAGAGGAGGTTTGCATTTTATAACGTGGATATTATTGTTTTTTGAGCTGAATTTACTTGTTTTTTTGGTACAATTTCTGAGCTCTTTATTACTTACATAGTTTGGTTACCAAATAATTTGCATAATTAGCAACCCAATGTGCAATAGGGGCATGATGTCTTCTAATGCTTTTTAATTCATATATTTATCAGCTTGCTGTATATAGAGACAGCAGATAGGCCTGGATTGCTTGTTGAAATCATCAAAGTCATTGCAGATGTGAACATTGATGTGGAGTCGGCTGAGATTGATACAGAAGTATCTTGTCTTCCTCTTTTGTCTCTGTCCACCCCTTTTTGCCCCATTTACTCTAAACTAAAGTAACTTTACCCCCTTTTCTCTCAGGGTTTGGTTGCTAAGGATAAATTTCATGTCAGTTATGGGGGTGCTGCATTGAACAGTTCAATGTCTCAGGTAATCCTTGTTCTTAATTTTTTTTATAGTTAAGGGTGATCCAATATTAAATCTATGATATTATCTTAAATTTGGACTTAACCTTAACTCAACCTTAAAAATTAGCTCGTGAAGATTGTTTTAGCCTTTATTTTTTGCCAGATTTGTAGTTGACGTGAGATCTGAGACAATTTTCGTAGATACTGGAGTAAAACTACTTTAGAACTACTTGTTTATCTACTTACTGCATTGATTGTGATTTTGAATGAGCAGGTTTTGGTGAATTGTCTACGTTACTACCTCCGGATGCCAGAGACAGATATTGATAGTTACTGAGCCATACCTTAAGGAACCACCTTTACTTGTAAAATAAGCCAATGTTACGGTTCTTATACCAAATCGCCAATGAGCTCGAGATCACCTATGAGTAGTAGATCTCAATTTTAAATCTGGCAACTTTACTGCCACCAGATTATGGAATGAGTACATGTTGTCTGTGGAATGAATACCTGTAACTAATATGAAACATGAATTTTGTCTCATTTCCTCCAAGATTTCTATGATTTTATTCTACTTCATACTTCACAAAGACTTGATCTCCTCGATATGGAACATATCTTTATATGGAAAGCTAGGCCACTTAATTTGCTTGGATAAAGAGAATTGTTTCAAACCATCGATAATATTGATATTGTTGATTTCCTCTTGTTTTCTTTTTGTTCTAAAAACTCAAACATAGCATTAGTATAAAAGATTCTTTTTAATATAAAAAAAAAGAATAATTGGAGATAAATTTTGCTAATTATATGCAAGAATAATAGTTAGTTAAAATGTTAAAATTAATTTAAATATGCTTTTAGTTTTTATAAATATGACTATATTTATTTTTAGTCATGTAAATTTTTTTTTTGTTAGTTTTGGTTTTCAAAGTTTCAATAAAACTTTTAAAAATGGTCCGTTACTTTTCTGTGATAACATGCTACGCATTTAACTATGTTATGTTAGCAAATATTTTGTGGTGATAAGTAATGCAATATGTCTAAATGCATATTCCATTAATAAGTATTAACAAATTATTTTTATGAAATTTTAAATTTGCAAGAACCAATATTAACAAAAATTTTTACCTTTTCAAAATTGTTTCATGTGAATTCATTTGTAAAAACTAAAATTGCTTCGAATACTATAGGGGAACTTCGAGGACAACTTTGTGCATTAAATCTAACAAGATCAAATCTGTAAGCCAAAAAATAAAAAAAGAGTAACAAAAAAGGATCAAATCCGAATAACTGAAAAGGAAATCATTTAGCTATGAGTTACTGAGCTTTATGTCGACAATTAAGTATTAACACCGTAACCCCAAAAAAATTTAAAAGTCATAGAAAAGGATCAAATCCAAGAAGCTAAAAAGGAAATCCCTTAGCGTGGGGGCCAGCTCTATTCTCGAGTTATGTGCTATTGAGATTTATGTGACAAATCTGCTAAGTTTCTCCAATATGTGCATAGTGACAAATGTTGGGAGATTATCTTATATTTTATAGGGCTAAGACTTGTGCCTATGGTTGTTATGTCGAAGCAAGTCTTGCTTTTGTTAGTGGTTTTCCTAATTAACGTTGAGTATGCTCGGAATACTGGCAATGTCGCGAATTATTTAGATACAATTAATTTTTTATTTCTAGAAGTAGAATTTAAACAATATATTTCTACAATTTAAACGTTAATTACTAGAGGATATATTTTACAAAGTGCTTTACATTTACTCATGCATGCTTTTCTTTTGGGATTGGGATTCAACGTCGATGTTTGAGCCATCTTCTTCACGGTAAAGTTCCTCCTTTCTCAGTGAAACATACTCCAATTTTTCACCATATCTTCTAACCAAAGTCAAGTAGAAAGACATTGCAAAAATGGTGACTCCAATCAACAACCAGCTGAACTGAATGTTAACTAAGGAGACAGCACGATGAAGGGCCTCATCATCACTGCACCTGACCTCATGATCACCATCATCCTTAAGATGCAAGAAGCAACCTTTGGCTTGAAATCCAGGTGTCCAAAGCAAGAACCCCATGATCATAAGCCACACACCTTGGAAGATTATGCTGACAGAACGTACAAAGCTGACCAAGAAGCTCTTAGGAAAGCCAATTCCCATCAGGGTTGTAACAAATGAAACAAGGACCAGAAGTTGCAACAACAAGTGGTATTGGCCTTCTGGCCCCATGTGATCTCTAGAGTGAAGGTGGATAAGAAGAAACTGTTGTACAAAAGCTATGGCTCCCAGCAAATGAGTGAGCTCATGTTGAGCTTTGATGCATTTTCTATCAAAAACTATGGCAAAGGTAGCATAAACCAAGAAAGCCAAAGCCATGGAGGAGTGTTCAAAGTTGTGGAGATGGTTGGCGGGAATGGTTCCATCAGGGTCAAATGGTTGGTGATGAACTGGAGCGATGAAGAGTTCCATGGCAATGAAGATTGTGCAGCTTGCCATGACGAAGTGGAGTTCTAAGTATCTTGATATTGTGGTGGGAAACCATAAAGTTGATGAGTAAGACTTGGAACAAAGAGCATGAAGCTTGATGTGGTTGAAGAGGTGCCATAAACCAACCATAAAGAAGCCAAAGCCCAAAAGTTGATGTCCCTCCAACATGGTGCCTGTTAGCCAAACACAGGAAAGAAACTTACTCCTTGTGCACCGAAGACAATAAGCAAATTCCAGCACACAGTAATAACTAAATAAGAAGGAAATGCATGCAAGTAGTGACTTTATTGTTCTCAAGAATTAAGAAGCACAAACACAGTACTGTTTTATCGTCCCAAAAGGCCAACCAAATGAGATGAACTTTTATAGAACTCTTATTCTGCAACTAGATTGAGATGAAGTTGGTTATGAGGATAAGGCGAGTTTCAGTGTGTAAAGCCAAGTAACACGGCCTGAAACCTCCTTTCACAAGGGAAAAGGTAGGTGTTGTGCGTGTCTCGTAAGGCAGAAGATTTGGCATTTTACGCTAAGAAACATGAACCGGGGACAACCAAAGTTGGGTTGTTAAGGTGCTTTTCCCTTAAGGAAATTTCAGGCCAATAGCCAGTGTCCTGTCACAGTATAACTGTACCATTTGGAAAGTATAAATAAACGCTTGTCACTTTGTCTGATTGGCAGGTAGGATGCAATTGTGGATTTCTTATTCTTGATCTAATAGGAAATTTGGGGTCCATTGTAAGAAAAATCCAATAGTTAATTGATAGAATAAAGTAAGTCATTGCTATACCTATAATTATTACACGCTTGGTGATTTGCTCACCATTATCTTAAGAGTAATGGCTATTCAAAATTTTTATCATACCTTATGAGTAACGTTAAATGTTTTAATTAATATTTAATATATCATTAAATACTTAAAGTTGTTATTAATTCAGAGTTGGAGTTTGAGTGGATGAAGTTGTATGTGTATGTCTTTGAGCTTTTTAAATAAAAACTAAATTCACATTATCTTTTTTGAGTTTCATTATATTTTAATTAATAATAAAATATAATGAAAAGAGTGTATTAAAAGTAAAATAACATAAGTAGAACTACTTAATTGAAACTTTCAAATAAATCATGCGATATATTCAATTACTTTATTTTAATGTATAATAATTTTTAAAATGTTGAGTAAATTTATTATGAGACAAAAATTAGGTAATTTTGTAGTTAAATTAATATAATTTAGATTTTTTTAAGTTATGAAACGGTATCGGTATACAAAATTTATCCTTCAAAAACTTGAGTTTATCTGTGTGGATAAGTGTATTTTATGAGTGCAAATTACTTTATATTACGACATAACTTATTTTAGCCGGATCATAGAGGTGGACGCCCCAGGATATGTTTAAACTACCAGAATACCACCTCACCAGGAGATTTAATTAAATGTGGTTAAACTTTTCCCTCATTGAATTAGATTGGATTGAGCCTTAATATAATACAATTCACAGGTTTTCTTTCATCTTAATGTGTGTGCGGTAGAAGATTCTCTTTGAATTTTCTTTTAAGACAAATTGCTACAGTTCGCAAGAATTAGCCAGGCTAAGAAATTTCTTTGAAATTGCGCAAGTTTACTGTATGCGTATTCAGCCGTATCTATTTACATACTCAAACGATACAGACATTCTTCTTAGTTATATACAACTTAAGAGACAGTGTGGCTGTACTTATTAAGTTCTTCAGTGACGGACAACTACGAAATTACCAGAACAGCTCATAGGCCATGAATGCTCATGATCAAATTGGAATGTTAACTTTAAAAATCCGAAATGTGTGGGATCTATTACTCGTAGAACAAAAGTGAGACTCAGTAATACACACACACACACACAAAAACCCTCACATAATCCAAATCTTCACTCCAGTGAATGCATAACATCCTTTGAGGACACGAGTATGGTTGGAAATTGACCAATGACCATGAAAATTTCATACCTAGTGTCAACTATAGCAAGTTACATTATAAAACAGCAACTCTGGGATCGGTCCAACAAAAATTAGAATCCAGATGACTCAACTAATGAGGAATATGATGCATTTTCATCCAAGACCGTAGGCTTCTTACCGCTGGTTTTCCCTGATGTTCCATCACTATTATTGCCAAGTGGTCCCGCCTCCAAACCTACAATCTCATACATTTTTAATCTTTGGTGTTTAGCTAAATCAATATCACCATCCCAGCAAGTCTCGGAAATAATTTCGAGTGCTTTCTCAATCTTGTCTTCAGCCACAATATTCCCATTTTGCAAGAGTACAAGGTAGAGCTGTTCAGCTGAAGCTTTTCGAATCTGATTAACGAACAAACCAAAATAAAACAAAATGAGAAGCCACAGAGCAAGGAAAAAAAGTAATGACCCATTTGTTTAAGTCAAAAAGTAATTTTATGATACACCTTTTTTTACAGTATTTTTAATTACTCTTTTTTATCGTTTGAGAAAAACACTAAAAAACATTAAAAAAAAAAAGTTATATAAATTTTTTAAACATATTTAGTAAAAAAAATTCCTTCTAAAATAAGCGCAAGTAAATGATCCCTTAATTGGGAAAAAGAGCTCTATCTACTTTGGAGGTGATTGCTTTCTTTTAAGCGAAAAACAAGTTGCCAAATTGAGAATCTCGCACTGATGAATATTCTGGATTTACCTTAGGGTAACGATGACCAAGAAAGTTAAGAAGCTGAGAAAAGGCCCTCATATTGATTGGTTCTGACAACGAAGCTACATAACTAAGTATTGCAATACCAGCATACAACTTAGAGAAGTCTTTTGATCCCTTCAATTCAATTGCCAGAGAATCCAAAACAGCAGCACAAAAAGTTGGAGTATGAGCCTGTAAAATATAATTTATTAATCAAAATGCTTGCACCAAGCATTTGTAAGATAAAATCAAGAAATAGAAGGATGGAACCAAAAACTTCCCATGGCTCATTTTTTAAACAGAAATATATGCATCTTGACCAATTTTTACTTATGAATCCCCGAATTCTTTTTACTTGTCTTGTTCTCTGCAATCCTTAATCCTGTCATTCTTTAGACTTTAGTTGCTCAAGTTATATTGAGTACGTACTTCATCCAATTTCAGCTAACATGATTTTGCATATTAAATCATTTTACTGCATAATTCTCTTGGTGGTTTAATCAGTGGGATCTACTACATATAGTACTCTTAAATCCACTACCGAAGAGAAATTGCGGTATTCTGTCTGTCTCCAAGTTACTAAATCTTATATACTCTCCCCTTTCTTGTCACAATAAAGAAAATACATTTTCTGAAAGCCCATGAACAACTATATACTGAAGTATATAGTATTTCATAAACAAAAATGGAGGATACCCAGATAACCTTAACATGCAGTGGCTGAGTCATGCATTTTTTCCTTGTAGGCACTGTTTTCTGACGTTTCAACATTATACAAACCTTGTTGGTCTTAATGCACAAACAGGTAACTGAGCAATATGTTCTACAAGTTACACAAAAAGAGTTCACAACTAAAGGAGGTTAAATGAACATATGGAGTTGCTATCATTGGGGTTCAAGATGTCTGCATGATAAAGATTTAATGCATCTAGACTTTGTAGAAAGTTCCCTTCTAATACTTGTCATTATTCTTTTTCTTCCTTTTTTCGTTTTACCTTTTCATCACTTCCACAGTTCCACTTAAATGTTACTGGTTTACTTGATCAATATAGTGGGTTACTTGATCACCAAACCAATGCAGAAATAGACAATAAAAGGAGTATTAGAAGACCTACTGACAGGAAAGATGAAAAATAAAGAATAAAATGGCAGACTAACCTCCATATTAAGGAATATCTTTTTGCTGAACAGAATCTCGATGGTCTGGAGTGCAGAATAGTTCATCAGTATATTAGAGATTCATGGATAATACTAAGTGCAAATCATGGATGTAGATTTACATTTCACAACAGAGGAGGCACACAAGTAGGCAACTAAACAGGATTTTTTATGCTCAAAACATAAATGCCTAGGAATGCCAAGCATAGAAATCTTTCAACTACAACCCACGGATCATTCTTACCTTGTAGGTAACTGAATATAGTGGAATTATTGGACCTTTACAAATAATCTTCATTTTGTAACCCAAACTGTTTTT